ACCATCGACCGCTTTCCTTGCCCTCTCTTTGTGGACATTGGAAACTTTGATGTAATTAGCGGTGACATTGGAAGAACTCGAAGTCTCGAAAAAATATACAATCTCCTGAGTGCCGCGTGTAAATCATATACATTCAAGTTGCAGAATTTGCATGGAAATAATAACTAAGCAGCTAATTAGGATCATACTAAAGGAGTTTAAGGTCTAATGAAATGAGGAGTACCTAGGAAAAGGTTAATGGAAATTCATATTGACAATCGGAAATTCATCCTGACAACCTACCAGGAAACGGTCGTTTACGGAAATTTCATCGCCAACCTTGCGAGGAGTGATTATTCTTCGTCCCCTTGAAATAATCAACCAGCTCTCACAGACATCGCGAAAAAAGCTTTACACTCAAGAAGATACCTCACACTCAAGAAGATACGCAGTAGTAGTATAATCAGTCGCGTACTGTACTGGTGTCCATTCACGGGGTATGAAAGAGAGTCTAACTCCCGCATCATTCTTAACTTCGCCACGCGCTCCACCAACCCTTCTCTTTAGAGCTACAAACTTTTCATGAAGCTTATGGAATACTTATTCGTTCTACTTTGGCTTCATTCTACTTGACTTGTCGCATCTATCTCCAGATGGAAGAAAAAATGTCCATAACGCCTTTCTCATCCAGCCACTCATCGCCAGCAACGCGGTCTTTGCCTGGAATGTGTGTGTGTGCGTGTGTGAGCGGAATTGCAAACTCGTTTTTTTAGTATGTGCTTCTTAACATCCATCACTTATGATATGCGTCTCCTGTGTTCATAATTGCCTGAGAAACGTAAACAGAATAAGGTAGCAGATTCAGAATTGAAAGAAGGAACGAGGATCAGACAAGCAGTATTGTACCTTGCCTCCCCACGGCGTGGCTTTCTCTTTTTGCGCGCCCGCTGTCGATTCCGTTTCCTTCTCTTCCTGCGCGCCCGCTGTCGGTTCCGCTTTCTCTTTACTGATAGGCTTTAGAGCAGAGGGAGCAGAGTGGAAAAAAGGACTTCTTTTGAGTTACTGCTTAAAATCTTAAGTAAATAAACAACACGCATTTGCTTCCCGCTTTTTAGGTATCCAACTACAATCCCATTTTCGCCCCGAGTCGGTAGGTCAATTCTTCGACTTCCTTCTACCTGGTCATCCTGACGTGATAGGTCATCATGCGACGTCGATCGAAGTCGAAATTCCAAAAAAAGAGCGTCTACAGAAGAACAGAGGAATATGGGTTAAATTAAAGATCTCCTACTTGTCCCGAATAGAGGAAAAGAACAATTTCCATAAGACCATGCGTGCGTCGTCCATGGGCATGGTTTCAGCTTTCTGGATTCCACCTTCTGCCCCCGTGCGCGCCCCATCACCATTGACAAACGAGCCCATCCTGCTAGTTCCCTTGGCCACCTGTAAGGAATGGAAAAGTCGTCTCATTTGGTTCTTAACATCGATCACTTGTAATATGGAGGATTTTATTCTTGCATGTGGAAAAGAGCGCACTAGACTCACGATTGCAAGCAAGAAGTAGTGTTAAATAAGTACAACTTGACTCCCTCTTTCCTCCTTGCTTTCCTCCTTGCGTTCCTCCTTGCTTTCCTCCTTGATTTCCTCCTTGCTTTCCTGTTGTGGTCCTCCCTCAGTGGTAGGAGCCTTTTTTCGTTCTACCACGGTGGCGGGCCCCCTGCTGGCGTCTTCTGATTCCTTCGCCGCAGCTGGCGGCTGCGCTCGTTCCATGCCGGGGCCTGTTGGCTCCTTCTCCTTCTCCATTCCAGGCGCTGCTTCTCCATTCCCTGCTGGCTTCTTCTCCATCCCGAGTTGCGGTTCTTGCTCATTTGATCCCTTGGCCGCTGGTGCCGCTTTTGCTTTCCCCTCTACTGGTGCCGCTTTTGATCCCTTGGCCGCTGGTGCCGCTTTTGCTTTCCCCTCTACTGGTGCCGCTTTTGATCCCTTGGCCGCTGGTGCCGCTTTTGCTTTCCCCTCTACTGGTGCCGCTTTTGCTTTCCCCTCTACTGGTGCCGCCTTTGATTTCTTCGCCGCTGTTGGCGCTCTTCGCGGCGTGTCCTCAGCTGCGTCTGCCCATCCCCTTTCGTTCTCCTCCGTCTCCACGGACGCCGCAGCCCATTCGTCCTCATCTTAGAGGAGCTCAAAATTATAAACCTCGAACGAAGAAAGATGAAGCAGTTTTATAGAAAGATGAAGCACTTTATACAAATATAGAAAGTAAATGAAGCATTATCAGCATTAGAGAGATGAAGTAGTATGGGCCTTAATCCCTTGTTGTCGACAGTGCTGGCCCGGTAGGCTTCTCCTTTGTCGGTTGTTCTGGTGACGCGTTTCCCGTCTCCGCATCCTTGGAACCGCAACTGTCCATAGCTGTGCAAAACGAAGTTGGTGCTACGACAGCAACTGCACGTGGCTCACGGCTCGACTTAGAGTAAAGAAATGAACGAAGAAGTGAAGAAGTAATTCACGACCCCGTCATCGTTCAAGTTCAAGCTTTCTATCTCATCACTCATCGACATCGTGCTGGGTATATCATCATCATCGACCAAGTTCAATGTCTGTCAATGTGAAAGAAGTCTCACGACAATGTATTACTTCTATAACCTTCGATCCCCTGCATGCAGCAATGCAATGCCACGCCTGTCCCCTTGATATGGCCTCTAATGACCACCCTAGAAGAGATAGCGCCAAGTGGAGATACCTTAGTGCCACTTACTCACAAACTACTAACCCGTTGTGTCAAGGGAAGCTACTTTGCGCCTTAATGGATCCGCCATCGACTGCGTTTAGACGTGCCTCGTTGACGCAGGATTGGTCGCAGGATTTCGTCGAAAAAATCAGGTTGAACATTAGAGAAATCAGGTTGAGCACTAGAGCTAAGGATAGGCATGCACGATCTAAACCCCAGATGGATGTCGTCTACATTTTTAGGCGTATAAGACAATTCAGTGACCAATACGATTACTTCTCGTGTAGCACAAATCACGACTAACCTTTCTCTCCTGTAGAAAAAGTGAGGAATTTCTCCTCCTGTAGAAGTAGAAATCAGTGACGAGTCTCTGTCGAGCTTGCTCTCTTAAGTCTGTCTCTTGTTCTTCGTCACTATTCGAAGCAAACGCGTTTTGGGCAGCGTCCAGCATCCTCGCACCACGAGCGACGTCGAGGAAAGACGTGGGCGCCTCGGTCATACATTAGAGGCTTCTGAAATGAATCTTCTCCCCTAAAAAAGTAACCTTAAATTACACGTCTTTCTAAGTACTTGGTAGTTGTCCCAAGGCAAGTTTGAAAATAGAAATCGGTGAAAAAGTCAAATCCTTCTGAAGCACCGCGGCCCTGTCTAGAAAAAACCACGAAGAAAAGACGTGCTTCCGCATCAGCATGATGAAAAGTTGAACGATCGCCGAGATATCTCTTGAATCACGTAGCTTAGTACTTTTTCGACTTAAGTTGGGATCAACAAGTATCTTAGTAAACGAATTACATGTGGAAACACACGACAACTACGGGTCTCGTCTAATTAACTCAATGCCACGTGTGCTTCGCTGATAATGCTGCCCGTAGCATCCGTAGAGGCTGGCTCTGATAGTGCCCATGACCGATGAAGCCAGCACGGATATAGTAGCACTACTGATGTAGTGGGGTGCCCAGTCATGGGGTACAAGTGCTAATCTAATTCGTGGCTTCCGTAGAATTATTTCGAAACAAGAACCTATCATAAGTCTCCGGCGGCGGCTTCTCAGTAAAATAGTTCTCGCCACGAAATCCGTACCAATACGAGATGAGCATGAAGCTGGGCACTAGATCTAGAAAAGATAAAAAAATTCTAAGGATATGATGAAGTCGGTGCTACGAGTATTCATATACACTTCATTACACCATCGTTCATGATAAAGTCGCGTGTTGTACTATCTAATAAAGAGTGAAAACGTAGTAAGTATATTTGGATCTGAGTGACGAGATGCATCGTAACCATCATGAGTGCAGCCCAATGGTGCCAGGTTCCTGTCGCTGATCCAGAAGCCAACTCTTTCGGCTTCGGGTCCCTCTCTTTGAGTGGTGCCTTTCCTTCGTCATCCTTGACTACCTTTCCGGTTTCTTCATCTTTCTTGTTATATTGACACAGATTTCCACCCCCTGCCATTAGAGTCCTAAAATCAGTACTCTGAGACGCTATCTTGTGCCGCATTTTGCATTCCTTTCCAGCCACGCGGTAAGAAACTGTAGCCTCGTACTTGTTACCTAGTTGTATCTATCTTCACTTTAAGAAAAAACTTGAACTGTGGCACTTCAGACAGTTCAACAGCGAAAGCACTCTAGAGTACTATCTACGCGCAGCACCTTCTTCGTGACAGCCTTAACTCAATCATCGCATCCCTCATCCCAAAATATGACAGGGGCTTCTTCCATTTTTCCGACCATCTAGGCTCCCCTTTTTAAAGCCTGCTGCGTTTGAGAGAGAAAGCCCACGACTCATTGTCGGAAAGATGGAATAAACATCGGACTTCATAATTCTTTTCGCGGATAGTGTCTGCAAAGCATCCTTATGGCCTCGAAGCCGGGATCGTCGCTAGGGCTAGGCCCGTCGTCAGGCAGAGGACCGTAGCCGCAGTATGAAAGGAGTGTGCTAATCAATCCCTGAAGAAGTGACCCACATTTTTTCCCACACGATCGACCCTCTGAGTTGAGTAGGATCATGAGTATGACTACTTATATTTTCTCAGTATGAGTATGGGTATAGTCATTGACTGATTGACGTACCCAGCACCCAATCTCGGGCAATAGGATCTGTTAATTAAATACGATGCCTGCATCATGCTTTGCTTCCATTCACTTGACTTCTTTTGTAACGTATATTTCCGAAGTAGTAGGGTAGAATAGGATGCCTTTGCTGAACCTTCACACGAGGTGCTGACAGAACTTTTTCCTTTCATACACAGTCCACGCCATCCATGCCAAAACTGATGCCGACAGCAAAATCGTGGTCCGACGTTGGTTCCGTTTGTCGGATTTCCAACCACGTATGCCTAGCAAGATACCATGCGCCGCACACGTACCTTAGAGCACCTCGCACAACTATGTAGGACTTTGAGGAGATGAATTATAGATTTACACCATCAACTACTAAAACTCCGCGACCCCTCTCTTCACTCTTCCAGTTCTGTTCTTGAAGTTTCCACTGCAAAAAGCAAGAACTGCATAGCGTGGAATAGGATAGGATAGGAATTGACTCACCTCCCACAAGGTGAGCCTGGATCTCTGGTCAACCCTTAGCACAAAATCATAGCCAACGAGCATGCTCTAGCAGAATGTTGCCATAAGTGCGCCGTGATCTTGAATTCGGTCTGTCTTCCACGGCCAGTCCATCTCGTTACGGACTTGCCCTGCACAACACAGTATAAGTTCCGGTAGAGCCATAGCCAGAAAGTGAATTGATGTACAACAGTGCTATCCCTGTTCTCGAAGTAAACGTAGATGCGAGTGAAAGAGTCAACGAAAAAGAGATGATCGCCTAAAGTATTGCAACTTTAACATTCAATCTTCAAATTATACCTGCGTGATGGCCAAAAAGTATACCTCCGTGTACTATCAAAGTAGTAAGTATATTCTTCGAAGAACAGAAAACTCGAAAGTACCATGGGAAGAAGGTTAGGTGTGGGCCCGCCAGAAAAACTAGCAAGCTTCATTGGCTACTGAAGAGCCAAAAGACAATACGAAATCTAGACCTGGTGGCGCTACACTAGAACCTACTTTCTATGTTACACTAGCCCGATCGCCGCCTCTGGGAAGAATATGTAGACATTTGTAAATAATTTTCAGAAAAAAAAAATGTTTGTGGTACATTCTCCGCTCGCCTTTCCCCCAAGCGAAAATCGGTGCGAAAATCGGTGGCCAGCTTAGCCCAATAAGTCGCCGAATTCTGTTCCTCCCAAAGAGTTAGAGAAAAGAAATGCAAGTATATTAATCCTTCACGCCCGCCTCCGAAGTAGCAGATAGTCCGAAGTAGAAGATGAAGAAAACGGGTCAAAAAGCTCAATCAATTTAAGTCTTTAAGTACGTCTCTGCTACGACTACATAACTCTCTGCTTGGTAATCTACTATGTATGGCTACTTAGGAGTTAATATGTGATCGATCTCTTGGCTACTAAGCAAATCCTCTGGCTTAGTTACATGATAAGTCAGCACGTTCCCGTCTCGTAACGCGATGGCGAGGCCCAATCTTCTGACTAAGTTCTAGTATCTTGCTGAGTTTAAATAACTTGGCTAAACCATCCAGGAAGCCCTTAAAGGTGGTTTTTCATCGCCGTTCGCACGCGCTAGTAGATCCGGAGGCACAACGCAAACCTCGACGTCGCCTATTTCATTAGACATTTGAAATTCGAATTAATCATCGTCCACGAAGTACAATGTGCGAAGAATTCGCCATCCTTGCATACCTACGCAGAACAGTCATCCAAATTGATGATGATAATGATTCGAACCTAGTCGGCAGCTTGCCTAAGATTTCCCTGACGATTTCCATTGAATGCACCTCCTGTTAGTTCATTTTATCTAATAGAATGCCCACAACGGAGGTTGTTGGTCCAGGAGTTCTTTGTGATAGCGTTTTTCGTGGTATTACTAGTCCTCTACAGTCAAGATGTGATCTCTTCAACTGTGACGTAGGAGCAAAGCACTGGAAAATAAACAACAAGTAAGTATACAGCAGACTGCTAACCATGGTTCCATGATGTGAGACCAAACACGTAAAGGAAAATGGAATCACATGTAAAAAAGCCCTTCCTAAAATTCCTTAGCTTGTTCTTGTTTTGCCTTGCGAGCCGAATTATGATGCCCATATTCTTGTCGTACTGCTCATACATAGATTAGACTGCAGCAGTCTACCATACAGAATGCATATGCAACATGCCTCTCTAGCAGAGTCCATTTTCCCCCTTCCAGCACGCAATACGGAGATTTCTTTGACTAAGATGGTAGAAGGATGCGTCGAGATGTCACGTGTTTGTGTCCCTGTCGTAGTTCAACGAAACCAGCTAGGAAGAGACATCATAATCATTCACTGCGTACTTATAAGATGCATATCTTAATAGAAGAGGTAAGGTTATGCTCCTTCATTCTTATCAGAAGTTATGCTCCATATCTTAATAGAGGAGGTTATGCTCCTTCATTCTTATCAGAAGTTATGCTCCTTCATTCTTATCAGAAGTTATGCTCCTTATGAGCCTTAAATATACGTCTCCCAGGGACTGAAAGAAAATGGCGGATCCGCCACATTCTCTGGCGCAGCCTTCGCATTCGCTCGCAGACGATAGTTATGCTCCTCGCCCCATTTTTTGACGAAATCGATATCTGGCTGCGAAGCAAATGCATCAGGGTACTTGGACTCTACATTAGATCATCTCAAGGAGCTGTGCTTCGTCTCAAGGGGTTGTGCTTCGTCTAAAGGAGTTGTGCTTCATATCATGACTCATCATTATTCAGATCAAAGAGACACAGTTACTAAATGGGTAACAAGCTTAAGAATAGTGCCAGAACTTCTAGACGCGAGCAAACTATTGTCGAAAAATCAAATCGAACCTAATATCGAAATCATCCGGCTCAAAGAGTCAGTCACTATTATTGTTGGAACACCCGAACACGTCCAAGCGCACTATGAGGCTCTTGAGAGCAAATGGAATGATTATCGTTGCAGTGTAACAGAAAGACGACCAGAACGGACGCGCCGAATGATCACTGACTGTTTAAGGCCCTGAAATGGTATCAAAATGGGTCCAATGTCATTGGGATATCATGAAGGGTCATAGTGTAGCTAAAGATCTGGGAGATCTTGCTGCTAATTCATGTTGGAACTCATTGAGTTCAAATGATGATCATACGAGGAACTAACACGAGTTCAAGACAAGGAACGGCATTGATCATGATCAAGGTGACGAGTGAGAGCAGTCATTTGGCATTGAAATCAGGTTCATCCATTGGATCTTGAGCCAGTAATGACCATTGACCAACAACCCTCCTCAATCGCTAGGTGAGGAAATGACGAGAGTCACACACGGTCTGGCGTTGCCTGCTCTGACCCAGAACCATCACGATTCGCTGTATAGCCACTGACGTCACCTCTGACCAACGACCTAACACCCTAAGAAGATAGAATAGGTAAGCACCGCCAAAGAAGCAGAACTTGAACCAGACTCATCATCTTCTTCTTCCGAGTCACTATCATCTTCAACATGGTTACGGCTAATTACTGGGTTCTCTATGTGATGTAATAATAATCTGCGTTGAGTAGATGAGCATGAAAGTTTCGTTAGTCCATCAGCTTTCATCAGGTGAGTAGGACAGAAAACGACTTTCTCAGCTGCATCTCTAACCCTTAAATAACGTAATGCATAGTGTCTACTTTTAGGCTTCGTATCTTCACTCTTTGCTGTCGAGGTTGCAGACTGGTTGTCTATCCACAATATGGCATCATCGAGGGATGGCGATATACCAAACCGCGTTTCCACTAGTTGAGTGGGTAAGGGATTGAAGAAATCTGTAAAATCATGCAGCTCGCTCATGACAATAGTGTCCGACGCGGCTATATACTCTGACTCTGCAGTTGAATATGCACGCACGGTTTGTGTATTGCGTTTCCAACAGATTGGAAAGCCCCGATAGTACATAATCGAACCACTGGTCGAGCGCATGCTCTTTATGCAGTTTGCGAATCCTGCATCTGAGAACCAGTTAGTATACGGTAGCTCTCTTCCTTCTGGTAGGAGCTTCTTGTAAATTCCGTTGAATTCTTCCTCACTTTCTGGAGAATAATAGAGTCCTTGGTCTTTTGTCGTAGCTAGATACTTTAATACTTTTCTACAGGCTTTTGCAATTCTTTCTGTAACGGGCTTACTGACATACCGAGCCAATGTCGCCACAGGGACGCAAATATCTGGCCTTGCGGTTGTCGATATCCAAAGCAGTGCGCCAACAATCTCACGCAATGGAAACCCGGCTGCTAGCTTAAGCCCCTCCTCAAGCAAAGCAGACTCGTCGAAATTTGGAGACCACACCGGCTTACCTAATGTTATTTTATACTTCTGTAAAGTCTTCTCTATGTACACATTCATCAGGATTTTCACTGAACGTGCTTCCCGACAATAGTGCACAATCGCACCAAGAAAGTCGAACTCTAGCCATTCGAAACCCGTAAGAGAATCGACTCGCTTTGCCATCTCAATAGGTCGGCCAGGGGCGCGACTAAAGATCCGGTCGAGCTCAGACCGTAACTCGTGATAGTCAGGTCCAGTAGCTAAGTTATCATCAACATAGACTGACATCTTCATATACTTTCCTGGGTGCGTTTTGCTCTTTTTCCGCCACAATCCTGGAGCAGAAGGACACGGCTCCCATCCGAGTTCGGACAATAGCACGCAATACTTCTTGAACCAGGCTCGTGGAGCGTCCTTGAGCCCATAGAGAGCTTTCTTAAGCTTGACGATATCCGCTCCATGCTTCTCCGCCCACACTGGTGGAAGACGGCAGAAGACGTCACGATCGAGTTCAGCATTAAGGAACGCAGAATCAAGGTCGAATGGGATGACGAAGTCAGAGTCCGTCGCTGCTGAAACGAGTAAAAGTCTATTCGCAGCATGTGACACTACAGGGGCGTAGGTGTCGATATTCCCCGAACGATCAAGATTCCCGAGCACACAAGCACGAGCTTTGAAAGTTCCATCACGTTTTACCGTGAGAACGATTGCTATAGGCATTACCTGAGAAGAGGTTCGCAGCTCCTCGTCAGTAGCTGGCGCCCAAGTCTCAAAGGCAAGTAGTCTAGCTTCCTCCTTGGTGATAGCTGCACGCCATTTCTCGGCGTCAGGGCTTTTCAAGGCTTGGGAAACTGACAGCATGACATGTGCTTCGAGAAAGGTCTCCCCTTCTTCCAGCTCATGCCCGCCTGCTAGCATGGCAAATTTATGCATGTCTTTTCTTAATGCTTCTAGCTCGGCTTTTGTTCTTCTTTTGCGTTGTCCTGGATTCTTATCCTTGCTCCCTTTAGGTCTTCCTCGGCCTTTCTTCCCCTCCTCAACTTTGCCTGGTTGAGATGGTGGAATGGGTAAGGTCCTCGGATCCCTTGCTTCAGGATTAGAGTCAGGCGACACACGCTCCGATGAGATATTCCCCTCCTCAACGCGTTGCGCGTCAGAGTTGGAATCATCGCCGGTCTTTGGATCTTCCTCTTTGTCCAAAGATTCACAGGGAAACTCATCAATGTCATTGCTATCGAATATCACTTCCATGCCGGTTGGATCGCCTGAGCTGTACTCCGTGCCAGAGAAGCGCGGCTGACAGGCCATACGTTGCAGCGCATGTCTGTGCAGGACGGGACCCAGCGACGGCGTGCCAGACTGCAGGTTTTCCAGCGGGTCATAATCAACATAAATGCCCTTCGACGTAGGCAGTAGCCAGTCAATGTCGATGTCCTTGACTAATATCGACTCTCGAAATTTCACATCAAGTGTGGAATACTCACTCCACTTGAAGCCAGCTTTCGTTCTCCCATCGTTGTGATATGTACCTACTAGCCAACCAGACGAAACTGGACACAGACCGAGAAACACACCACGCCGATAAGGTGACGCAAGCTTTGCTTCTTTCTTGTTGGTGGTGTCTACGACCTGTTCACGAAAGTACACCAAACAACCAAATCTTCTTAGCATACCTAGACCACTTTTCGAGGACTTCTTTCCTATCCTCATTTCTAGTATCTCGACAGGACTCGTTCCGTCATGTTCTGGCATTTTTGCGTAACGATGCGGTAAGCGATTCCAACAATCTCCGGCATACTGTAGGCAGTAACACCAAAGACGCCGGTCGACTTTGACCAACATGGTACGCACAGCACCGAAAATGGTCCGCATGAAACGTTCGCAAGTTCCGTCCATTTCTGGGCTGTAAGGAACCGAACCCCAGGAATTTCCGAAACCAGTAGCGATTGCATGACTTTGGTCATATGGTCACTACTTAGGACGGGTTCGTTATCTCTACGGATGAACCATGCCACCTTGTCGTCGAGTGACAATGAGTAGTCCTGGCGAATGCCTTTTATTACTTCTTCAATCACCTCTACGCAGTCCGACTTGAGGCAAAGAGGACGAACGAAACACATTTTAATCGAATCACAAATAATGACTAAAGCACATCTTTTGCTTCTTATAGCGACTGGTCTAATACCAACTGCGAAATCAATTGCAAGCGTTTTCAATGGAGAAGGTATATGCCCAGCGGGCCTCACTTTTGCGTGAGAGCGTCTTTGACCTTTGGTTCGATCACATTCTGGACAAGATACACTAAGGCCATCACCGTGAAAGTGACCAAGTCTACGATGTATGTCTAATCTTGAAGCTTGTGAATGAAGTCTAGCTTCTTCTATACTAGTACATACTATATCCTCCTCAGTTTCATTTTCTTCTTTGCTAAACATGTCACAACCTAGAATAGGTAACTGCATCTGGGGGCAATTTGTTATGGGTAGAGAGCGGCCGGAGCGGGTATTGTACAACGTTCCGCCACTTTCTGTGAGATTCATTTGCCAACCCTTTTCATGACAGTTTCCTTCACCTAACCACGGTATAATGCGATCTATGGCTTTTGGTAAGTGTTCAAAGTGTACGCCATATTTTAATCCGAATTTATTCTCTTTCAGTCTACCTAGGTTCCCACTTCGCTTTCCAGCGGTGCCACTAATATGACAAAGCCGGTAGCTAATCTTCTTGAAATCGGAACGATGGCTAGACAAATACTTATTTGCACAACTGTCAACAAGTGGAACTGTTTTGCTATTTTCCCTGTTATTTGCACTTAGATAGCAACTTGAGTGATTGCCAATCATATAGCTTTCACCCCTAAACAGTTCACTTCTATATTCTTTATTCTCAGTGTTTTGTTCAAAGTTCAGCGAACATCTTCCATCTTCATTTTCGAAATCTTCTTCCAATTCTTCTTCATCTTGGGATTGTCCATCTCGTTTCCCATATCCATTCCATTCCGGATTGGTTTCGACTCAGCGCTGTGGTTGTTGTCCACCCCATTGCTGCTGTGGGTTACTGTTGTCGAATCCTTTTCCTCCACTTTGTTGCGGTGGATAGTTGTTCTGGTGCCACGGAGGGATAGCGTTACCTTGCGGCCAACAGTTGTATGAATTGTTGAAGAAGTTGCTGCCCATGGCTTTGTTAGGTTGGTAGCTTTGACTCGTCAGGTTTAGCCAGCATTTGCGCGCCTTATGTCCATACTTGTGACAATAGTTGCACTGGATACCCTCATTAGGATTAGAGTTCTTAGCACCTTTACCTTTGCCATTTCCTTTGTTTTTCTTACTACTAGAAAAACTGCTACTACTCTTTTCACTTCCTTTTGTTGCGTAGACCTCGTTCTTGATTTCTTTGCGAATCTTCTTGCGAAGTCGTTTGATCGTTGTTTTCTTGAGAGCGGCAAACGCGTTACCATCGTCATCACTCTCATCTTGACGCTTACGCTTCTTGGTTTTGTTATTGTTCTGGTTTTCATCATCAGAATCTTCGACAGCTGGAAAAGCTTTGCCGAAAGATGGATTCTCGATCTTGTACTCACCAGAGTCAATCAAGCTTTGAAGTCGTTTCGTGAGTCTTTCACCGATTTGGACGAACGTTAGATGTTCATCTTCATGCATCCTCTCGATTGTCTGTCGAAATGCTTTGGAAAACATTTTTGGCAGAATGTCGAGGATTGCTCCGCTTTGTTGATCAGCAACAGCCACACCAACTGCCGGCGGGTATACGGTCGGAGATTGGTCCATGACATCTCTAACCTTCGCCAGGAATGTTGGAACGTCTGGAGGAGAATCACGGTTCGTGAAGTGCATCCCTTCCAACGCTTTAGCAGAGATTCGCTGCTCTGTGCGGTCATTTTGACTGAAACCAGCGTCACGGAGGTTTGTTACCACTTCACCAGCGTTCATTACAGTGGTATCCTGATCCTTCATATGTGCTTCGGCTGCACCTTTGAGCGACTTGATGATCACACTCTTCAAATCTCGCCAATTCTGCTGGAGCTTGCGGTCGTTGTTGTTGGGTTGGTTCGGAATCCCTGCCGCATTGCCGTTCAGCACGTTGTTGAAGTATTGGACTAGGTCCAGGCGGTCTGCTTCTTGCGTTACCGCTCGAAGCCAGTCACGCCAGTCAGATTTCTGACCCAGTTTGGGTGAAATCTCTCCGAGACTCATATCGGGCATTTTGTGGCGCAAATAATGCGACTTTGTTTTCTCTACTTCTACAAAGAATTGACTAGTTGTTTCTTTAAGAAGGTAAGGCTCAAGGGCTTGAAACAGTGTTGGAACACCCGAACACGTCCAAGCGCAATATGAGGCTCTTGAGAGTAAATGGAATGATTATCGTTGCAATGTAACAGAAAGACGATCAGAACGGACGTGCCGAATGATCACTGACTGTTTAAGGCCCTGAAATGGTATCAAAATGGGTTCAATGTCATTGGGATATCATGAAGGGTCATAGTGTAGTTAAAGATCTGGGAGATCTTGCTGCTAATTCATGTTGGAATTCATTGAGTTCAAATGATGATCATACGAGGAACTAACACGAGTTCAAGACCAGGAACGGTATTGATCATGATCAAGGTGACGAGTGAGAGCAGTCATTTGGCATTGAAATCAGGTTCATCCATTGGATCTTGAGCCAGTAATGACCATTGACCAACAATTATCAATTTATAAATACAGCCAATTATAATCTAGTATGTCTAGTAGGATGTCTTAACAGGATATTCCTCTTCTCTTATCTAAAGTACTATGTCGCACGGAAAAAGACTCCTCTGTTCGTATCTAGTAGTGTGTCCTAAGAGGATATTCTTATCTAGTATGTCTTAACTGCAAACTCCGCTTTAAACTCCTTGTGCTGTGTGCAATCGAAGTTCCCCATGGACACGCGTACCAGGTCGGTAAAGCGCTTTCCGAATTTTTCATATTAAAGAAGTTAAGTACACTCGAAGAATCGTATTCGGTATCTTTCTCTATATAGGGATCGCAATATAGATGAGCCCAGCTATAAATTGTGGTGGAGCAGACCTAACTAGAAAAAGCAAAGACCAGGGAAAGATAGCAAAAGAAGCCGCTATCTCTCGCGTAAATTCTTATCTGCTAAAACTAACTAAGCGCCGGCGCTCTTGTGGTCCTGTCAGCCCCATAGGTCTCACCTTCGAAGGCAGGCCGAAGCCCTGTGCAACGCCTCAGGTGAGTGCCCAGCTCCCTAGTTGTGCGCAGTGGTTTATTCGCTATGGGGCACCGGTTCACCAAATAAACCCACAGCCAGAGAAAAGGACGCAACTAGCTACTTTGCACAGATGAGTCCAGCTCTAAACTTAACTTATAAAGTGAAAGGATTGAGTTATGATCTTAACCTGTAGAAGAATCCTCCGCTCCTGAGCCGCCATCTGGTGCTCCACCTGCATCGTGGTACTCCAGAAAAGTAACATTGGCGTTGGAATTATGCTCCAGAAAAGTAGCATTTGCGTAGTTTGTGGACTTGCGCTCGTCCATAGTGGAAGTATGCTCCACCGCATCGACCTCTTCAGGTGTCAAATTAGAAAGGTGCAAGGCCGCGGCACCTACCTAAAAAGGAGAAAGTAAAAAGAAAGAGCCTCAGCACACACGAAGTACTATCTGTCGTGTGGATTGCCTTATAATCTATCACTCCTGAGGCCCAGACAGCATAAGATGAGTAAACGGAAAAGGAGTTGAAAAGGAAACACTTTACGGAAATTCTAGTTGCAAAATTTAGTAAAGGTGCGTGGTACCTGCAAGAAGACGTCCGGAAATCATTTGAAGACAGAAGCCAATTAAAAGTCTTAGGAAGAGAGAGATTCTACACTCCTAGAGTTTCTACTTAATACTTGTGGTGGAGCCGACCTAACTAGAAAAAGTTTCATACTAGTAAAAGTTTAATAATAGATACTAAAAAAAGGTTTAATACTAGAGTTTCTACGTAATAGCGTAGTCCAGTAACTGCTCATCGTCGTCCATAGATTCCTGAAAGACTATTTCCTCAGCATTCAGTTGTTCTAGTGGCTGTGATCCATCAAAATTGACGACTGATGTTGAAGATGCAGCAAAGTAGGAGGTCCCGCTCGGCTTAGGGGAGGTCGCTTCTTCGAGACGAGGATCATCCACCTCCGCCTGTACCTGTAGCTTGAGAGATGTCACTTCGTCATCATCTGCGGTAGTAGGTTCAGGTTGACCACTTCTAGGTTGAAGACCACTCGTTGAAGTTGTAGAATTCGTAGTAGTAGTTTCGCCATGCTCTTGTGAGGCTTTGCTCCCACGCAGACGACCATGACCACCTTGTGGCGGAGCTGGAGCAAGAGCAGCATGTTCGACGCCACCAAGATGCTTCTCTTCCTGCACATCCGACGACTCGCTCGCGTCTAGTGCACTTCTTTAGAGGTTGCTTTCATCAAGAACATTGGTGTTTGGGTGACTTACGCGAAACAATAAATTCACAGAACAGATAGTGGACACACATGAGACGATGAATATGAAATATTACTGGCCACCTAAAATTGATATCGGTGGAGCTAGCTCCACTATGAAAAAATCAAAAATTCAATGATAGAGGTATAGACTAATTGATGTAGAAGTACTATCGCCATAAGGTGTACTCCCTCGCATGTAGATCCGATCCCTCTGTAGCAATGCCTCCTGCGCGCAAAGAGCTAGAAGAGCAAACCATGCCCTACCACAACGTTGGATAAGCACAAGCGCCCTCGTGGTCGATCCGTCGTGGTAGGCAATGGACGCATTTTCCCCGTGGAGGTGCCTCGAGGGAGTCTTTTCCCTGTAGAGGTGCCTCGAGGGAGTCTTTTCCCTGTAGAGGTGCCTCGAGCAGGTATTCCTCCTTCTCATTTTTGTGGGTCCTCTTTGCTCTAATATTGTTCTGTTAAGCAGGTGAAAATAGTCAACATTAAGACTCAGACCTATGCATTTACTCCGGACGACTCAGGTGCTTGATGGTGCGAATCTATTCGGCAATCTGCCTAGGATTTCCCTGATGACTTCCACCCGCTAAGTTAGCTTGTTGCTGAGCTGTCAGTGGGCGCTCGGCTGTTCCTGTTGATCCTGGTACGGAATGACGGGCGGGCTTTTGGTTCCCTACTTGTGACCAGCGGTTTCTATCTATTGCTTGTTCAAGTTGTGCCTCTCGTGCCCTGATTCAGGTACGTCTACTTGAATAGACGCACAAAGCAAAGGAGAGAGCAGGAAGTCAACCCATAATTGGGGTTGGACATTAAGAATCTACGAGTAGAATTCTCTAATACGACACATCGCCCGCACTGTGTGGCCAGGCACCAGATTTCAGATTGTCATGCGTGTATCCCTGATGGTGCCGTCCCTAGTACCTGTAGAGATTCACAGTCTCATTTTTTTCACAACAACTCTCACATTCTTGCTCAGCCCTCAGAACCGACAATAGCGTAAGATGGAGACGATGATTAACCAACCTCTATGGTTAATCAGTAGGTTCACGCCTTCAGTAGATGTCACATAGATAACCGATAGGACTATGGTCAATCAGTAGGTTCACGCCTTCAGTAGATGTCACATAGAAAACCGAGAGGGACTCTACTTCACACTACATCTTGAAAATCTCGTAGCGTCCATTCATTCCCTTGCATTACCTTACTGTCCCGTTGTTAGCTGAGACAGGTGACTACAAAATAGAACAATGCGCACAGAACAATGTGCACGATGACTCCATCGCAGGATGCTTCATGATATCAGAACTTAACTTTGGCAAATATACCCTGGTGGGGACTACCGAGTAGCCGAGGTTTCAGTCTCTGAGGGTAGACGTGTGGAAGGCTTCACCCATCATCTGGGTTTGATACTCTTTATCCAGTATGATTTGTTGAGCTCAATTGTTCATTGGCGTTATAATTGTTTCATTCGTTAGGGCTTGTTGAACTCCGTCATACTTCTTTATTCATTCGCGTTCGAAACTTCTGCGAGCATCTAAATACTACGGTTTGAACTGCATTTCCCGTATCTGTCGCGCCCTACGCGCGTAAGCATAGGACAACTGCGTGGGCTGCTTAGAAAGTGTCTGCTCCGTCTCTGCAATCGCACTCAAAAACGAGCGCAGCGTAGATCGCAGAACGCCAAGAGGGGTTTTTTTGTTCTTGCTCTTGGGCAACAATTGAGCGAGCAGCACCAGCAGACGTGTAGGTACTAAACTGTCCCAATAGTGAGGCCATGAGGCCACAGATTTCGTAGTTGTCTCGGATTTTTCTAACGGTTCCGGTGTTTCTGATTTCGAGTACGTCGGGTCTACAATTAGGCCAAGGGTCAATTCTCGTCGCAAAGGCCGCGCTACCCCACCGCCCGCCGCGTTTTCTGTCTTGCTCTCGACATGCTCGCTTTTCTTAGAGTTCGTTCTTGTGAATCATATATCATGAACATCGTTCGAAAATTTGAAGGTGGATTTTCTCAATCTTCCCTGACACGAAGCAAACAACCGGTAAATACTGAGAAAGAAGAGGTCTCAGCCCTTTCTATGACGGGACATCAATATGAATTAGGTACTGTAGTATATAGCCACATTAGAGGCGTTAACATTCATATGGCCAGTTTCTTCTCCAACGAGTGACTCACTGAGCTCGTCAGTAACACGCTCGTAGTCCTGCCGAAGCGCATGAACCAATGCACGCGCGAGGGATAGAAGCACTGTTTTAATTTTTCCACCTTCTTCTTGCTTGACGTTACTATCAGCTGAAGGTGGACTACTACTTGCACAAGGTTCTTGTACGAGAAGATTCTCCAGCTGATCGGGATCGCGACATTCTGCCAGAAAAAGGATCTGTTGCGCAAGCAAACGGTCTCGCATTTTCTGCTCAAGATCCGGCTGCAGGACTGCAGGCATCGTAAGTCCATCCTTATGTGGCAACCCTTCACAAATAGTGTTCTGTCCATGCTGTTCTTCCAACGGTAGAATAAGAGGCAACAGCTCGCTTACTGGGTTGTCGGCATCAATTCTTTGGGACGGTGCTGGAAAGACCTCGTTGAGGACGCCAGCCGCATGTGTTTGGGACCATGGTGGAAGGGCCACGTAAGGCAACGTCTTCTCAGATTAGAATGATGATGATTGTCCCTATTTCAATGATGAGAAAAACTACCTATTTATGGCTCACGATCATGAGCATGTAGCCTGTATCAAAAGTTCTAAAATGCCTGTCTGGCTATGGTTAAATCATCTTCGATCAGTCGATTTAAAAGATGAAGTTCAAAATGCTTCATCAAAGTCGCTTTGATGGCCTCGCGATTCGAAAATGCACTATTTATGACCCATCAAACAGTAACGTTGAGCCTTAACCAACATGATTTTTTTTCGTCTCCTCGTTAGTGGCTTTGCTCTCCTCCTTCCCTCCGCTCTTTTTTCTCATCGCCACTAGAGCATGGAGCCACGTTGGACGCACTGTAATCCCCGAATGATGCATCTGCAACAGTACGCCAATAAGTTTCGCATGTGCTAAGGACAGACTGCGTTGAAGAGTGCGGCCATGGGCCAGAGACTCTGCAAGGCGGTCCGGATTCGCTGAGGAGTCGACGGACTGTTGCATCAACGTATCTAGATCGTGAAACTGTTCGCTGTGCCACCTGCAAACTCTCTGTCGCAGCACTTCTGCAGCGGTCAAGTTTCCCGCGCCTCCTTGATAGAAAAGATGCTCCAACACGCACGCGGTGACCCTTGACGATAACAAGATGTTCTTTATTTCCAAATGGTTGAAGAGACGCAAGACCGGATCCTCCTCAGTTGTAGAAGATGTTTCCGCTTTTATTGTCGACGAACCACTAGGCGAAGAAGAAGAAGAAGAAGATGTCATATTACCACTAGGAGACGAGCCCGAACTTCTCTGCGCCTCCACCAGTATTGCTAGGGTGCTACAACGACGCACTTCCGCTTCGACCTGAGACTGCTTTGATTCTAGAAATTCGCGGAGTTTGACCAATTCTTCGTCTTGACGGATGCATTTTGATCCCGCGCTCTTTTGTTGTTCTTTATCTTCTTGGGCGTTGTTACTGCTACTGGGCGTTTTCAAGATTCGTTCTGCTTCGGTAATTCCATAAACAAAAAGTAGATCATCACGCGCGATTTTCGAGGTATCCGCACTCTCGATAGAAGCTTTCAAAAACGGCAAGTCGTCGAACTTCGGGAAGCGATATCTAGCGACATTCACGAAGATCTTCTCCACGGCAGCAGGAACTTTTTTATCGAGCTCCTCTTTTGATGTATTTGGCGAGCTACCACTTGGACTAGATTCAGAGTGTTCGGTAGAAGTCCTCCCCAGGCTTGATTTCCTATACAAGACTTCTTTCACTGTCGCTTCTAGAAACACATGCCCCCCTTTCCCTCTAGCGTCAGGTCCGAGACAAAATTGCCACACGAATTCCACTGCCAACGGTAAAAACCGACTCACCCAGAGGTCTTCAGCTACCAGGAACGCGCGCAACTCCATGCTATTCTCTGGAAAACACAGCAGCGCAAGGGAAATCGTGAGAAATAGACGCTCTTTCTCCAGAATTTCTCGTGCCTTCGCGGGAAGCTGCTTTTCCAAATCTGCAGCTGCTGATGGTACACCCAAAGCCTCTAACTTCGGATTATTCTGCTGAACGAGGCTCGCGAGCAGTCGGACGAAGAGTCCTCTACTGGGCGTCGACCCGCTGCTTAAGTCATCGCCTACAACATAGCGATAGCCAGCTTGTCTTGCACGACGCAGTTTCTTCGCTGAATCCAAAGGCTTCAGGAGGTCTAATATGGCTTGTTGATTGACAACCTCTTCTACGCCTTTATCTGACTTCGACTTCGTAGAACGTGAGAGCAAGACACTAGCGCAGAGGTAATTGACGTCGCGAGTGTCCATCAGCAGGACGCCATTTTTTTGTTGTTCTGAGAGAAAATCCATACACTTTTCAGGACCGTCTTTGCGATAAAGTATGGAAGCTTGGAAAAGCGCGTGACGAAATCGTTCCCGTCTTGCTTCAATCAACTCAGGACTGCCTCCCTTTGCGAGCAAATCCGCAGGCTGGTGTTGTTAGGTTGTTTTCGAATTAAGTAGGTGATACAAAAACGCTCACGTTTCCACCAAACCTAAACCAAAGATTAACAAAAAAGTCTCGTGAACTTTGTTTTCATCACGAGAAAAAAACATATCTCTAGACCCAGCCAGCTGCAAGAAGCGTTTGAATATACCAATTCTCCTGGATTTCTTTGTTCCAGTAACCGTTCTGCAACGCCAAGATTTGCGTCAGGTTGAAGCAGTGCGCTTAGCACAATGTAATCGATGAACCTTGGAAATGCATGCTTCCATTTGGAGTACAGCTTCATGGCTAAGGATTGCGCCTGTTGGTACTGACCAGCCCACAAGTACCGCATCCATATGGCTTGTTGGGCGAGTGTTAGAAGTGGAGGATCCTGCATCTACTTACGCCTTAGCCATCAAGTAATCCTCTCGTCGGAATGCCCGCTCATGCAAATTGTAGCTATCTGCAATTGATCCCAATGACCCTCAAATAACCTCAAGAGAAAATTATCGGCACTACATCAGGTAAGCTACATCAACATCCAGCAGTTTTTCATGAAGCATAAGTCTACAGAGCTTTCCGCATCCTTGCTTTGCTCCAGTGCCTCAGTTACTTGTTGCATTTCCTTTGTTGGCGACGGGAGAACGGGACAACAGTGGAGCGCAGACGTGAAGAAATATTCAAGTAAGAGTGCAGCGCGATAGCTTTTCACTGGAAAGGCCTTTGTGCACATAGACTCGATTGCGTCGCTAAGATCCTCCTGTCGCTGTGTTAGGACAGCAATATCCGCGAACTGGTGATCTTTTGCGGATTTAGAGAGGTGTCGGTGTGGTTCGTGTTTTCCAAGCTCCTAATCTCTCCTGGATGAAGATGAACCAACGTTGTACTTGTTAAATTCAAGAAAGGACCATCCAAGACCAGAGATAGGCAAATGCTTGCAAAAAAGCTCATAACAGTTCCACTCGATGAACTGCTGCTCCCTCCTCCCTTCTTGAGTTCCACTGAGCTTCCAGCCTTCCCCGATCCAACTACATTGCTGAATATGACACTGCATCCTCCTGCCAACCGGAACGATGCAATACTCTTCAAGATGCGTACTCGTTGCGCATCCGCTTCACAAAATTAGAGCTCAAACTAGTTCATTTCTTGGGCTCATTTTCTCGGTATTCCAAGAAGAAAACAGAGACAAGTGACCTGTGGAAATGAAATAAGAAAAACATCATTGAGCCTTAAGAAAGTACTGGAGCGGCGACTTTGTTTTTCTTGGCTTTCGGTGGCTCCAGAGATTGGTCGGCTAGTTTGACAGCTGCCTTGTTATCACCAGCGTCTATCAGCTGGAACAGTTGGCCCAGCTGAGGAGGATCCTGTTGCCCCTTGCTCACACTACTTCGCGTCATCTTCGTTGATCATTAATCTACTTCAGAAGATAAACGAAGGAGAACAAAAGACGAGTCATCACTTCTACGTTCAATCTGCCACGTTGAAAATACAGAGAAACTACATCCAGAACGAAAAGAACCATGAGTCACTGAATGATCGATATAGCCCTGCGACAAAGTTTCATTTTCAGAACAAGAAAAATGTTAACTTGTACAACGCACCCAGCAAGCTAAAGCTTGCATCTTCCAAACTTCTTCTAAGTAAGTAACTTTAGGTGCACTAGTAACAAGACCACATGTTTTTACAATGTGAACGATCCGTTCCGGCCGGCATTCGGAACGGTTGATCGTGCACCATCGTCTTCCACTGAACTATGCTACAGATGTTGATGAACGCCAGAAGATCGATCCTATCTTTCATCGAGATCCATCATGAGCACGCAAATTGCATTTGTTTAGTGGATACTTTCGGATACTTTCCGGAACACGCAAAACCCCGATAGCGAAATTTTGCTGAACTCAATTCTTTCGAATCCGAAGAGTTCCTGCTTAGCTAAAATTTCTTCGATTCACCAGCAACCTTGGAAACCCAGAGCAACATCAAACTTTTGTGATGATAGATTTGAGTAGGTCTTTCCTGAAGCAAACATGCTTGGGAGTGAAAAAAGATATGGTTATCATGGGGATGAAGCGAACAAGCTTTCATGTTCTTGGTCGTTGCTTATGGAGGATGATCCGTTGATATCTGGGCTACATTCGCAACAGCATAAGTCACGGTCGTATCTGGGCTACATTGGCAACAGCATAAGTCACGGTCGATGGTTGGGACAAAGGAAAACTGGGACTATCGGGCGATATTTCCAGAGCGAGAAGAGAACCATTTAGTTATTCTTACTTTACAAAATGGACAGCAAGCGGCAGAGCAGAAAATTGGCTTTGTAAAGCAGCGATGCTAGAAGATGAACTTGCACCTTACAACAACTGTCCTAGCACGAGACCAGAAGCACCTTCATCAAGCAATAAGTCATGTCATGTCATGGAACCTCGTTTGTAGTTGCACGGGACTACCGATGAGGTCAGCCAGCAAAAGAGTATCTCCTAGAGGAGCGCTAATTTACCGGGTATATCGCTGTTTGTTTTTGACAACCACAGTTCTTGTCTGCTGTCGAAGCAATAAGTATCGCCTGCAACGAATACAGGACTGAGACGAGTGCAGCGAGAGGACTCTCACAAACCCATTTGTCGCCGCATCTTGATGGAGACCATGCCGATAGCGTCCGTTCTCACAAACCCATTTGTCGCCGCATCTTGATGGAGACCATGCCGATAGCGTCCGTGATTTGCTTGTTCTTGGGGTCCAACTTCTCTGCCTTGCCAAGGGCAGCTAAAGCCGCTTGAAATAGTCCGCCGCATGTGGGTTAGAGGTGGTTCCATATAGAAAATCACTGTAAGTACTAATGCTCTCAATTTCTGTCTTCAGAAAAACCAATTTACAAGAACCAAGCAGGACACACGGCATTATCCCAATTTCTGCGAGAACATCAAAACGACACAATACTAATTATTCCTTTCAACGTCATGCCATAATGTTCTTTCGCATTTTTTGCTTTGACAATGTCGTCCGATGTCGCGAGCCCGTGCTTTGCCATGCCCAGACGGAAATAGGCTTTCGCATTCTCCCCATTTGAAAGTGCAATCGCCTCCTCAGCATCGTCTACTGCCTTTTGGAATTCACCAGTTTTCAACCAACATTGCGCTCGATTTGCATAGACAACAGTGTCTGGCTTCGCTTTCAAGGAAAGAGTGTAGAATGCGGCGGCCTGGTAAATTAGAGGAGGTGTTCGAAAGTTTACCAGTCTCTTTTCAATTTCTTGTGCAAAGACCACATGTCCACTCTCTAACTACTCAGCACTCTGTTCTCTCTACCCAAGCTCCTGTGAAACAAAGAAGAACTTCTATCGTCCAAATCAAAAGCTTCACAACTTCTTCCTCATAACATGAAATCACTGGTCTTGAAAGCCTGATTTCCCTGTTCCTTGAAGTTTTGGGCTTCCTGGTCCTTCGAAGAGCCGTTGGCACCACCAATGATCTCATCCTTAGAACTACCGTTTGCACCACTAGAGGATGTTCGCTTATCCGCATTCATAAACGTTGGATACTGCTTGTCGCTGTGTCGCTCTACGGGTGTGGTTATTAGAAGAGGAGGCCAAACTATCATCCGTAGTACTGAAAGCTTTTCCGAATAAGTCTACTTCAGAATGCATGATGTGCCTCAGACGCTTAGAATGATCTTAATCTTTGTCCTTGTATATTACTCCGACTCATCAGCCTTAAAGTAATTAAGTGCTTCGTCTTTGGTTCCAGCATCGTCACATACTGCAATTCAGGGTCTAGCGATTGTTCAGTCTTGGTTTCCTTCGAGTCTCCGTCTTGGGCAGCATTATCTCCTGTAGTTCCTGGAAGAATGACTGGCACTTGCGTCTTTCCATCAAATGCATAGGCTAGTGCCGGACAGTTATGGAATACCACGAACTGCATTAGCGCCTGCTGCTCCCAATCCAGTGTAACCTGGGTACACTTGTCAGCCTGCACACTCTGGACGGGCACACGGAAGACGAAAGTGTGAGATTAGAACTAGTTGGAGTTGTGTTTGTCGTTGTGTAGGTATGCTAGAGCTAGTCAGTCATTGAAAATACCTAACAAGGTCCTCTTTATGATTGTTGATAGATGAGACTGAGAGCATTCAACCAGCGAACCTACGGAAAACTAGGAGGAGTAGACGACGAATCAATCTCAAAAGCCGTAACAATCCGTGCAATTCCAGATTTCGCAACTACTGGACATCACATCCGCGTCAATTTCGAATCTGCAGTTGGAACAGTTCTCTGCTAAAAATTTGATTGTCTTCGTTGTGAAGCGAAGTGTACTGTTTTCGCATTTCTGGACTCGAACACACTTCGGCTCAGGGCACTCGATCGAGAAATGCGCTTTCTCCTTGTCCTCCAGTCGCTCCACGATGTGTCCGGAAGCGAGAGTGAGATAATTCTTGGCACTAGAAGTAGCAGACTGTGTGGCTTTCTTGTTTTCGTCTTTTTTATCTGTTCCTGGTGGTGGTGGTGATGTATTGCTTTCCCCTGTAGTTGCTGTTGTCCCGGAGGTTCCTTGGTCGCCTGCCGTGATGTCTTCCACTAAAACGTCATCCTCCTCCTCCTCCGCTTCGCCCGATCGTTCATGTTGGGCTTCGCCACCAACGCCGTTTCCTACACCATTCGCTGAGCCCTTCTTGCCCTTACCCACTAAGCGGTTGTCCACCACACCAACGAGCAAGACCTCAGTCCCAGACAAGCGGTCGATGAGGTTTTTCCGCTCTTCCGATTTCGTCTTGAAATCGTCTAATTGCTGCTTCGCAGCCGCAACAGGAGGACCCTCTACAGTCTTTCCACCGTCCAAGCCTAGGGCCAAGTCAGCGGCCTCCTTCTCCTGCTCTTCTTCGTCTTTGCAGGCTTCGACAAGCTGCTTTGCTTTCTTTTCCCATCCGAGAAAGTCCGTCATTTTCTTGGAAAAATATAATGACAACTAGAAAAAGAAAAACCAACAAATTAGAGCAGCTACTGTGAAAACAATTACATCAACAGAAGCACAAAGACACCTCAGTGTGCTAGGTCTAGCGAGCTTCCTAATCTAACGTGTGTAACGACTACTTCAAAAGGCTTCTTTGGCTGATTTGTAGGTCTCGTTCCTCAAAAAAATTTTCAAAGAGCAAGAATGCCCCACTTATGATTTACACTCGCGCATCATTGCCACATGCTCACATTGCATTTTGCACTGAGGTCATGACCACAGTGCACTGGCTAAGCTCAATTTGGACACGTCGCTGCACAACATACCATAGATACGATTGCTTTGAAAGCGCTTCATATCATTCAAGGAACACCCACAAAAGCTGCGGCCACCTGCCGAGTGTCGCCCACACACGTTCGATATTGAGCTTTCGTTCTTTTCAAAAGTCATCTTCGATAGTCTCTCTATAACATCGTCTTCTGTGATTCTAGCACCTGCAAGCATACACAAAAGAATTACACTCTGATCTAACTAGTTACGACCCCATGAAGAGCAGGTCGGTCTTCGTGCGAAACATCTCCTAGCTACATCGAAAATTTTCGAAGGAGGCATATATAAAACAGTCTTTTCACGGAGCACCATGGATTGAAAGATAGTAAGGATCGATCGCGCAAATTGAAATTGTATTCTCAAAGAAATCTTCTTAGTAATATCTGATGTTTTGGGAGGTAATAGCATTGATTTTTTCAGTCAGTGATTCTTTCAGTCAGAAACAAGCATCTATGGCAAGTGCACGCGGCTCTGATAGATCGCGAGCGCCGTCACTTCTCGATCTCGTAAACAGACATCGTCATAGGAAATGGCAATTCCCCACATGGGAAATCGGCTTTCCTTGGTCATAAGAAGTGTTAGTCCTGCAAGCATCGTATTGAAAATTCTTGGTTGTACTGTGAATGATTCTTCACAAGAAAAATATCACAGTGATCTAGCATCGAGGTACTATCGCAACATAAACATCTTTTACGATTCTGCGTCTTGGTGTGGTACATTTTCATTATGTTTCGCTTACTTTGCAAACGCTGTGCAATTGACGAAAACCAATCCATCTTGGTTTCCTCGTCTCAATTTCCCGGAGCTGAAAAGCTCCTGCCTCGCTGTCAGAAACGAGAACGTCGTAGTTCTGTCTCTAGAGGCTTGGAAGTACTAAAGGCTAAAAACTATATCATCTTGTCTTATGATCTGTACCTTATAATCTTATCTGTCTTATCTGCGTAACAATTGTCGTGAATAGAACACCGGGCTTCGAGTAGAGAGTACTGTCGATCTCTCTTGGCAGGTATAGTACCTATAAACTGAATACCTGAATCAACACTAAAATTTTGATGAATTCTATTTTCTCGCAGGAGGGAATTTGTTCGCCGGCGCAATAGGTCCCCCGGTATAAATGTCGTCCTGACCTGCGCCACCGTCGAAGGCTGGACTCATCTCGTGTACTCCGAAGATTAGAGCTCCTGGTTTTGGTATAATGCAATTCAGGACCGTGGAAATATGCCTTCCGCAATTATCTGTCTCTATGCAATGATGCAGTGTTGTTCTGGTAAATCTATTTCTATCTGATGATGTTGATGCATGGTCGTCGTGAATGAAATAGAAACTCACGACTACAGTGTCCTCGTTGAACGACTACTCACTTGTTACATGCATATTTTCACTGTCATAACTCAAACGGTAAGCTTTGCCGGAGTTTATCCACTTGAAACCCCTCTTTTTCGAAACTGTGGAGCATTTGTGAACTGTTGTGGAGCTCTTTGGAAGCCGTCAGTTGAGATCCGCCTGCTTTGGTCACAATTTTTGGTGGGAGTTGGTTCCCATCTTTGCGTTTCTGGACTCGTTGTTTATTCGCCTCGTCCTTCTCTCGTCGCTGCACATATGGCGTCGAAGCCATCATACTCCCATTGCCGCGCCTTGAGCTTCCATTGTGTAACGAGTTGTCGAGGAGAGAAGACGGCATCTGTGACGAGATGGGAAGAAAGATCAAAAAATCACTCTGCATAGCTACATTCATGTGGTCTGAAATCTGCAAGAAATGAAAAGACTTCTCTCCAACGAACAAATTGAATTTCATGAAAGAGCAGCTGAGTCCTAAAACTAAATGGCATCTTCTACAAGCAGCAACAACATCGATCACATAATATTACCCCACTCATGACGCTTCCGCCCACGCCTTCACTGCTAAGTGCGTACATGCTCTTTTCTAACTCTGTGATTTTCCGGTCTTTCTGCGTCTTCTCAAGTCGCAGCCGGTTCATTTCGAGGATGAGCTCAGAATTGTCGTTGGTGAAACGAGCGGTGTCTCTGGCGCGCAGTTGCTGTTCGAACTTAGTGGCGTCGGACATGGCCCGGCTCTTCTCCATGAGGTGATCTCTTTGCCTGATAGCTTCGTCTGTTATTGCCGGCAAACCCGTGCGCTTCTCCTCTTCAGCGAGTTCCTAGTTTTGAATTTCGGTAGGTAAACACGAATGAGCATTGCGAAGCATAACAATAACAACGGACATCTGGTAGTTTGATTTTGCATGGCTCAATGGTTGTAGATGCGCGCTAGTAAAACTAAACCTGAACATAAAGAACATTGAATATACTACAAAAAGTCCAACTACCTGCGTCCCCCTGTAGATGTTGACTTTTCCTTCGTAGCGGCCGACGACGTCTTTGAGCTGTGATATTAGTCTGGTTGGGTCCTTATTGTTTGTCTGCGAGGCGTCTCCTCCGGCAGGCGCGTGGATATCCAGAGCGCCGGTCAATTCGGTGATGAAGTTCTTGAAATCCTTCTTTGTCGCTTTTAGATTCCTCGCCAGCACGTTCGATTCTCCTACTAAGTTTTGGATCTTGAAATGCTTCTCGGCATTTCTTGTCTCGAGTGCCTGCTTCTTCCTCAAATCTTGGACCATCTCCTGGTACATACCTGGTAGACGGTGAAATTTTCTACGCAATTCACGTCGTGAATTGATTTAGATCGTTTGCCGGGTCACCCGAACCGGGTGTCCTAACGATGACACACATCGTTATGTTGTGCTCCCTTCACAATCCTGACGAGAACAACAATCTTAGTAACTACTGCACCAATCTTCACGAAGATGACCTCAGCCATATCATCTTCTCTTTCTCTTTCTATATCGCGTCTCGGATTGAAGTTTTTAGTGCGATCAGGATCCAACAAGTCTATTCTTGCCTTGCACCTGTAAATCCCTCACTACAAAATTTAAGTAAGGCCTATACATACTTACCTTGCACAGAGTCCTTCAATTCCGTGACCTGCTGCTCCAGCGGATCCCTCTCCTTCTCGAGTGTCTGCACTTTGTGAAATAACACATATCGAAAAGACTCGAGATGCTTCTGATTGCTCCTCAATTTCTGCAAGGCTTCGTCCGTCATTAGAGCAGGTCGTGCTGTGGAGAAATGCAACTTAACTTAAGGAATAATTGGAGACTTGTGTCAGCACAATCAATCGATCCTATAAGCAAAGGTGTGCTGTACTCTCGACGTCAGATAACCCTAACGTACTGTTGTAAAAAAGCACCAGACTACTTGTAGCCTTAACTTCACGCGGATGACTTTTTCTCTGTCTTTTAACTGCTCCTGCGCTTTTCGGAACATGTCGAGGACCTGGTTATGGTGGTCAAATTTGGACTTGGAAATATATTCATTTGCTCCACATCTTCTTGCTGATTAACGTAGTGGTACTAGGCAAGCACCTATATCCCTGCTAAAAAGAATCGAAGCAAGTTGTAGTATATCCCGAATTATACTAGACAAACAAACATTCATAAGTAAATAGTTACTATACCTCCTCCAACTTCCTCTTCAACTCGTCTTGCTGTTTTGCACTCCTTGAGAGGTCGTCTTGGTTCTGTACGATTTGGGACTGCAACGACGATATCTGGTTCTTCATGCTAACCATGTCTCGGAGAGCTCCATTGTACCGCTCTGATTCGTTCTGGAGTGCACTCCGCTTTTGGTCTTGAAAATCGGAGATTTCAGCCTGAGAAGTTTGTTCCGATTTTCGGTTTTTCCAATAGGTGTGATGCTAAAACAACGTCTACTTCGATTAGACAAGAATTACCATAGAACTTATCAATGTTGGTGGAGCATATTTATCTCACTAGAAAAAACAAAAACAGAAAAAAGAAAGGTCAGGCAAGAACTTATCTACTACTAATTAAGCGCCGGCGCTGTCGTGGTCCTGTCAGCCCCAGAGGTCTCACCTTCGATAGAACTTATTAATGATAACTCAACACTACTTCCAATGAAAAATAAACCAAATCACTTGTACTAGAACCCGCTCTTCTAATGCATCATTCTCACATCATATTCCTCCTCTTGTTGTCGCATGAAAACAAAATCACTTGTACTAGTTGTCACCTCATATTCCTCCTCTTGTTGTCGCATCGCTTCTTCGAATTTGAGGCCGTCTGTCTTCAGCATCGCACAGACTTTATCGTATTCACTTCGCAGCTCCTTCATCGCAGCTTCTGAGTGCTTCTTCAGGGCCTCGATCTGCGCCTCATACGACTCCTCTAGTGACATAAGGTCACTACGGTTCTTCTCTGTGTCTTAGACGGGGAAGTGGCTGTTGCTTTGTGGTTGCTTTGTAGTGAAGGGGAACTTTATAACGATAACGTGAGGCACATGTAAATCGCAATAAATTCATATCGTACAACACTTACCAGGAGAACTAGTAGGTTGATAAAGACGACAAAGACAACAAACAGAGATTTCTATGCATCCTCTCAACAGACAACAAAGACAACAAACAGAGATTTCTCTGCATCCTCCTCCGAGCCCAACAAGAAAACAAAACCTATTTCAGAGACGACAACCAACTTAAACTTTCTAAGACGCCCATAACTCAGTGCTTGAATCTCCGCTACGAGCCTCGATTGCTTCTCGTACTCCTTTGTGAGCCTATTTTGCATGTCCTGTTCTGCACCTCTCTGCCCATTTTCCATCTCCTGGTGCTTCATGGCCGTCGTCTCCGCATGTAATGCCTGAGCCTTCTCCATGTTCTCCGAGAGCTGAGCATACCTGGTGTGAGATATTGACGAACGGGATAACAACACTGAGTACAGACGATGAATAATAGACAGTGCTTTTTGCTTGACGGAGTGCGTGGCCAGCTATCAGACATGGAGCTCTTTCAGTGCGGCAAGAGCCATGAAAACAAAACTTGTGACTAACTCCAGATCAATACTGTGACGCTTGTGCGGCCATGTTTTTGTCCGCTTCTTCTCGCAGCTGGCTTACTGCTTCATCCATCTCTTGCTCTTTTTGTGCTATATTGTAGGCTGCGTCGTTTTTCACGTTTTCTATCCGCTCCCGCAATTCCTGCACTTCGGGAAATTAGATGAGGTAGTGACAACTTCTTTTTCCCGCATGAAATGTAAGTTTTACATGATTGATTCGTCTAAAAAAGATCCGGCTTCACATCGTAAGTCAACCCATCCTCTAAGAACTGCCTTGTGCACAGGACGTAGTCATCGAAACTACTAGTCCATGGCACCCGCATCGGGAATTGAAGTTTTCTCTGCGTCTCGAAAAACTTCGCTTTCTGTGCCTGCAGCTTTTCCTTGGCAACAAGGCCTTCTATTTTCTGCGAGGAAAGGACTAGTGACCAGTGCTCGTTTTCAAGCTGCTCTGCGGTCTTGGGCTCTTCATCTTCTACGCGCCGTCGTCTGGGGAGAGGAGAGGATGTTGGGATCGATAACTGTCAACATTGCACTGCAAGATTGTGATTTCACTACACAGAATTTCAATATGCATCATCATCAACGCCTTACATCAAAAAACCATCCTACACCTACCGCGAAAAATGAGGCGAATATTCACCACATCAGAAGCATTCGGTATAGTACTTTGACGACGCTGCCTCAAAAGCGACTAGTTCGCTTTGCTGCAGTAAGTTGCAGCAGAAAACAGCACCACTTTCGTCACCGGAGAAAATTCGAGTGTGGTCATAGGAAAGTGCTAGACTTACCACCGGTGATGTATGCATCAAGATCTCGATGGAGTGATACCTGTGGGAGCAATACTCATTGAGTAAGAATTGGATAAGATTGGATATCCTTCATCAAGCGTCTTCTGGGTCTGAAAATTTCCCTCGAAGCAATGAATACGAAACTAATATTAAATCGGGAGAGCTGCAGCTTCTCTTCTACACCCAGCACCAAACAATACAACCGTACCTATCAATCATGTCCCTGAAAACAATCGCACCTATCATGTCCCTGAAAAAAACAAAGAAATACAATCGCAGCTATCATGTCCCTGAAATACCTAGAAATACAATCGTACCTATCATGTCCCTGAAAGGAGACGCTCGTGCTGCTCGCGCCGCTTCCTAACGTCGAAGCTGCGCGATTTGATTGAGGATCTACTTCCCTAAGAGGCCACTCGAATACTCGGAGACTGCCAAAAACCGTACCACACGCTAAGAAATTGCGTCTTGCCGCCAAGAGCATGATTAGAGATCACGACTTTATGTTTTTCGAGAAATATTAACAGGAGTAGTTGTATAAGTATATTCATACTTATAGTATAGCAGATACTCTAGTAACTATTGCTAATGGAATATTCTCCCAGGAGAAAAACTGAAACTGTTCCATTCCATGAGGTCTATCACTGGCTAGCATACCAGCACCTAGACTATGCGATGCCCTGTGCCCTCAGACAGGAAGACAGCAGACACAAGAACGTGAGAAACTCTACCAAAGAATATAAGTAAACCAAGGATCGAAAGGACTGCTATTGACATGCAGATGAATACAACAATATTTATACTGTAGTAAACCATACCGCCTTAACATGCAGTTGAAGAAGCAATGCGACAGCTGGAGGTGGCAGGCACCTGTGCTCTTCTTTATAAGTCGGAAGTCACCTTCTCGAGAGACTGCAATGACTTCTTGCGCCGACTCGTCGTACTGGAATGCCACGTAAACTGACCCCTTCGAAACATGCTCTATTATACGGTTCCCACTGGCTACCTGTGGAGGTTTGTGCCATGTTCTTTGGCGGTTTTCAGGTGGGGAATTTTCAGAAACCAACTGTCGAAGAGTCAAGAAGATAATATCAAGTTAAGCTGATGTCCTACTTCTAAAAAAATTTATTATCATCTTCATAGGAAATGCCAGATCACCTCAACAAATAAGAATACCTCCCACCCGTATATGCACCCGTCTCTTCCGCAAGTCATCAACAGCGTGTCGTCCACGCTGAAAAGTATCTGAGAAATGACACTAAGGTGTCCTGTGTACTGTGCTAGCACAAGGGTACCCTTGGGATTATGGATGTCCAAGAGTAAGACGAAGTTCATCGCGCTCACTGCTAGATAGTCGCCGCTGTGTGAGAAGGCGCAACAACTTGGCTGTTTCAGAGGCATATCCCAGACTTGTCTTATTTCATCGAAGCACGAAAAATAAAGCCTTAGCCGGTCCAGAAAAACTACTGCAAGGCAAAGCCCGTTAGGATGCACTGCCACTTGGATTGGTATGTCATACTCAAAAATCTTTGAGTGCTCCATGGAAAAAGCGCGACTTGAAGAGACGTTAGAAGTGTGTAGTAGATCATGATATCATAATAATAGTTATAAGTTGTTCCCCTTGATGAACGAGTATAATCTAAAATTTCAAATACAAATTTTTGCCTTGGGCAAAATCCAGGAAGGCTACACTGAACTCTTGAACGGTAGAAGTTCTTGAAGATATTACAATCTATGATGTCGACGATACAAAGCAATCACTTCCTTAAACGACGATGCTGACGAAGACGATGATGTCTTGACGCTCACTGCCGCGGCCCCCGTTTGCGCAGTTGCTTTTGCAGCCGTGAGAGTCGCAGACGCGCTGAGCTCAGGATACGTCCAACTCTTGAGGGCAGTGTCGTTGCGTATCTTAAAACTTGCCAAGTCTTCAAGGTCATCTTTGACGTGTTTTCTCCTTAGAGAAAGGGTCAAAGATGCGTCTCGAGATGAATAGGGGCACGCCTACTTAACTATACTATACAAGGTTTTCGTGCCCTTCGGAGCTGCAGCCATGGAGAGCACGCCATCTCCGTGAAACTCAAACAACAAGGATACTGGTTTCACCTGCTGTGCCTGGTCTCTCTTGTGTACCGAAAATCCATACATCTTCAACACGTCCTCCTTCTTTGGCTGGGCTGTGTGGATGTAGGCATGAGAAATGATCTGTGAAATTGTAATCCGTGTTCAGCTGCTTGGCTGTGTCGTAACAAGAATGAGAAATGAAGAAATAAACGATAACCAATAGAAGTATAGCATTATATGAATATACCTTGTCCCCTAACAGTAGGTGTCGTGTCTGCCGTGGGGTCTTCTCTAGCGGTCGCCGTAAGCAACAGCACGTCAGGTATTCGGAACTTGTTGTCCGTCTTCGCTGATGTATTCCTGTGTTTTTTCGGAATATCCTCTTCTTTATAGTCCGAAAGCCACTTGACTCCCTCTGACCCGTAGACGTCGTTCACCCAATAGGGTCCGAGCGTCTCCACCTTTTCATCCGGCTTGAACCTCAAGAGACCCAAGTAACCACAAGTTCCGCCTAGTATGAAACCGCTCGCCAAACCCCACCGAGCGACGCAAGTAATCTCCACTGCACTAGGCTTCGGAGGCAACCGACTAGAGAAGGCACTCTCTTCGCTTCTGTTAGAAGAGATGATAGATGAGAAAGTGAAAGTGCTACTCTCGCACAGGCAAAACTGCGGACGGCGGATCAACTCCTACCCTAACCTACATGAAGATGACAGCATCAGGAATTTCACTCTCGAAGAAACACTCCGGTCGAAGAAACGATGCGCATTTTGTAGCACACATGCAAAAGACAAACAAAAATCACGCTCATAACTTGCGAATCCCATGTGCCGTTATCGTCCTGGAACTCTAAAAGCCGGATAATATTCCCAGCTTCCATTAGGCTGGTTTTGCCGGTCCGCTCCTTTATCTTGAACTTGGATTAGACGTGCCGTTGGGGATGGAACAAGTTCAAATCGGGGTGATTAAATAATCCGACGTGTGGAGAAACTTCATGCTGTTCGATACCTCTCCTTTCTTCATCTTGACTAAAAATCTTCTTCTAGAAGCAACAGCAAACGAAACAAAAAGCCTTATTTGAAGAAAGTCCCATCTCGGCAGAAGACCCATATTATGAGGAAGTCTTCTTCCGGTGAAATCTTAGGTAGCACCGGCGCAGGTTGGGGCGCACTGCTTTTCATCATGTTACCCTGAAGGTCGTCTGACATTTTTGCAGTAGCGCAGCCGGCTAAAAACTCGCTGTACTGCATCAAATGGATGCCGGGAATCATCTAGTGTGTTTTGGAAGGAAGAACTTTTTTGAATACGAAGAGTCGAATTTCGATCGTGTATTCTAGAAAAACAAGAATCAAGATCATGCATGTAATAGTGTATTGCGTCGACCTGAAAAATAACCGTAGAACCTAAACTATCCATCAAAAACCTCTGAATACAAGAAGTACTAGAATACCTTCAACGATTTTTCTTGTTTCAGACTAAAAAAAGCGTCCAGTTCTTTGAGGGGCTCCAACTGCCATATTCGCAAGTAACTGGGTCCACTCAGGAGAAATTGCGTAGCTGACATGGTATAAATCTGCGTCAAATACTGATTCCTCACTTCCACGGACTGCACGACATTTGTTAGATCTGCGTCAAATACTGAATCCTCACTTCCACGGACTGCACGACAGCTGTTAGATGTCGTATTCATAATGATGCTCGTGAAGTATTCAAATGTATCTCCAACTTACGTAAATCTATTAAGTCTTAACTTCTCGTGCGTCAATGACCAAAGATCGATGACGTAGTCGAAAGTGCTCTGGTTTTTCTTCGCCGCCGGATTTGGTGTCTTATCGACGGACAGGGAGAGAAGGCGCGTTCCGTCAGACAAAAACCTGGGAAGAGGTGGAACATAGCATGTACTTGAGCATGTTCTTGTGCTTGAGCACCTTGCTTAACGGTACTTACTCAGAAAAAGCTTGGTGTAATCACTGTTCTCAACCTGCTGCAGAAGATCGGACATGCAGTTCTTTGCTACTAATTATCGAAAACAACGACACATGACTCATGAGTAAGTAGTAATAAGTACTTCATGTGCTCCACCCTGACTTAATCTCGAAGTCACAAGAGGGCGGTATTCAACCACGTAACAAGTAGTAATAAGTAAGTACTTCATATTCTGCACAACGCAGAATCTGTTTTGTGGTATTAGTGTTCGTATTGGTCCTTCTCTTGTGCTCCCGCCACTCGGATTCTGGTTCAGCGTTAGAACCGTGATTTGCGTTCCTAAGTCCTCTGCATCGTTTACTTGCGGGGTTCGTCTCTGCGTACTATTCGTTGTGGGTCGATAGTTCAGCAACCGCGCGGCCCCGTTGTAATGAGCCTTTTCACCCACAGCCAAGAGACCCTTACTTTTCTCATGGCAAAGTGAGGAATTAGAAGGAGGAGCAACTATAAGTCTCAGGAGGATAAAAAAAGACTACAGCACACGACCCTCAGGAGTACAGACGACAAAGTATTCTTTCTAGTAGTTCCCCAAACTACACATAATCTTGGTCGTGGTTCTATAATGAGATTTACCTAGGACGTTTCGAGGTCAGTATTTCTATTGAGTATTTCTTGGTGGTTCTATAGTAAATTCAAAGATAAGTAACCATTACTTGTTGTTGCTGCCCTGTTGTTGTTGTTGTTGTTGTTGTTGTTTCCATGTACATAAGTAACTAAAAATTTCTAGTACTCTTTCGTCCATAACAGTGACGGCGAGTTCGCCCGATTGGGGTCGTGTGATGAAGACGCTCTTCTTCGTCACAGGATTGTACTGGATCAGTTGTGTTCCGCAACAGTAGATAAAGTCGTGGATGTTGTGTTGCAGGTTGTAGGAGATGAGGCCATCCATGTAATTCTGTAGACCCAGAGCACTCTCAGGCAGCAGCCGCGCCACCGAGTGCGGCTCCAGCGGAGGTGCTGCAGCCATCTTGTCCACGTGCTTCTTTTCGTACAGCTACTGACAAGCCGCTTGAGCTACTAACAAGCAGCTTGTGAAGAGAAGAAGATGCGCCAAGCACAACAAGTACGTCGTAGTTTCACACAGGTTGGACGTAGTCGTAGTTTCACAAACAAGTCTCCTCTTCGACGAAGACAAATCCACACAACTTGTTAGATCCTCTACTGAATGAATGTGCCTAGCGCGAGGTGGTGCAAGTTGTGTTTTATGTCGCAGCACGACAAATTGTGTTATATCATTCCTTGTATTCGTCTCGATTGACTGAAGTACGAATATGCTGTGGTTCAAAAAAGAGGATGCAAGCGTGTACACGTGCAAGTAATCCACTGATCTTTGCAACTCCTCCTTCAGTTTTTGTGGCTGCTTCTGATAAGTGCTACTACTACTTAGTCTTGCGGTGCAGCAGAGAGCGGCTACTTCGGAGGGAATTGCAAAAGCCACGGCGCTGCAGGAAGACGCTGGTCCGTCAAAAGAAAGCTGCTACTACAAAAGAGGAGCTCCCACAGAAGAACTCGCACGTGAAAGCCACCGCCTAGCCCGCCTCCAGCAACATCTTGCTGTTTCTATTTCAAGTACTAGGCGGTGAGGAGGCAGGCCGTAATCCTCCTCGCCGACGGAGACTCTTTTCTCCTTTATGCTACCTACACATAGAGATGAACCCTGCTCCTCGACCCGTGAAGATACTACATTTCGTACAAAGAAGTTGACTCATAAGGAATCGTCTACGTGTGCAAGTAACTAATAAAACGAAGAGTACCATAGATATCAAACGAGATTCTCTTATTGGTTCCAGACTTCGATCCGATATAGATATTCACGTATTTCTCGGTGTCCTTGTTACTTGGTAAATTTGTGTCGGGTCGCTTTTTTTAGGGGTTTTCCTTTAATCAATGCGTGTGTTTTTTCTCGATAAACTCTTGATCAGAGCATGGCATAACCGAACTCTACTTATCGACAGAAGTCGACACAACAACGTGCCTGGAAAGAGAATCACAATTTTTTTGGGCCCATCAAACAGCAGACATGCGCACCTACACGAGATGAAACGTCTCTCTAACATCTCTCCTCTACACAATGATGCTCCATCCCGACTACATCTCCACGACTCGTCTCAAGCGTACTGAAGATAAGCGTCCTGTCTATTCGATTGCGACAGCTGCAAGAAATACCAGGGCCGAAAACCGAGTACAAAAGCTCCCGACCACTCCGAGAAAAATATGTTCGGCCGATGAAGCTATCGAGACAGAGCCTAGGCACACGACTCTCGACTTTCCTTCGTCGGAGGTCTTAGGAATCTTCAGCTAACACCATGCTGCGAAATTTATCGTGTACTTACCAAATATGTGCCTCCTCTGTCGTCTTGTGTGTAGTTGTAGTTCTAGTAGTGCAATGGAACATGATTATGAACCTCCGACTTATATTCTCGTCTTCACGAGAAAACCGACATTCGCGATCAGAAAAACTACACTACTCGGAAAATTTGTAACTAAGTGGTTGTACAACGACAGCTTCAATGAGTAGATGTTGACTTAGACATTTCATTCAATCTTTACTATGATATCTAAATCTATTTCATGGAAAAACTATTTACAACTGGATGTCTTTCGACATCTCTTATGGAGTGAATTCATTCGCTTTAGTCGTACTAACTATCTGCAAAAAAACACTTACTTGCTCGTTGATATCTCTGCGGCGTCAAATCGCGGACTTTGGATATTTTTCTATCTAATATTCACAACGAGATAGCACCGGCTTAATCGGTCTCCAATCATTTTTCGGTCAGTCTCGGTCGCCCTCCACATCTGCTGCTTGACCGAAGTAGACATATCATTAATTATCTCTAAATCTCTAATGAAGTAATCACATACATTGCTGGCGAGAGTCTATTCTTGAGTATATTTTCATTCGGTTTTTTAATAATGATGATAGGGATCGAAATCTATGTACGGCTATATGGATATACCAAACCAAGACTCACCTGACGACATTCAACACATGCGACATAAACTATTTTTAACAAAAATGAATACGAATGCTTCTACTTTTCGCTTATGACCGATATTTTTTACTTTTCATCCAAAATTCCAAAATGGCACCAGTAAGTTGTTACTACAAGTACTTCTCACCTCACCTTCATACATGTAGCGTGCTCTTCCGTCCGTCCTCATTATGCTCTGCTGGGAAAGCTTTGAGATGACCATTAGCAGCACGTTTTTGGGCAGCAGACCTCTTGCGTATACTCAATATTTTTCTTGTTGAAGGTTTCATGGAGTTCGGCCAGGGATGCCTTCGTGAGTTCGGAGGCCATCCGTTTGGCAAACTTCTTAAATTTGGCAGGTGTCATTTCACCAGTGAGCGTTTCCGGTTTGACATCAGACCCACAAGCTTCGTGAAGCAGGGCCACGGGCGTTTCGGAGCACTTCAGAGGATAAGGAGGTGTCGGCATTAGAAGAGATTATCCTTGTCAAACTTAGATATCCGAACAAATACTAGTGATATAAAGGAGAGAGAAAATCTGACTGTTCTCACGACGTCTTGACGACTGCTGACGTTAGTCATCCACGATAATGTGCCCCACGGCTTCCCCGGGTCATCTCGTTTACGTCTGCTACTAAATCTAAAGCCTGTGCTTGACTAAAAATTGATGTACACATCAGTCTAGGGGAAAAATATATTTTTTTCTTCCACAGGACTATAGTACGCTTCTTCCCCCCGGTAAAAATCAAAAAAAAATCTGCGCTAGATTGAAAAGCCATAAGATCTTCTTCAGAAATCGTTCAAGTTGCTCCGCTGTTGGCGCCGGCTGCAGCTTAACACCTTCCACGGAGATGGCCGCAACTGCGCACGCTTTCAGAAAGCGGGACATCTTTGTTGTCTGAACGGTTGTAGAAAACGAAGCGAGAAATAACGTCGTGAGAATACTACAGCGACCACAAATGAGTCTATCTTTCAATTTCTCTTTCTATCTTTCTACCGTAAGAATTAGAAAAGGCTGCGGAACAAGGTCTGTAATCAACCTATGTATTAGAATTAGAATTAGAAATTATCTGGCTTGCGATCTGTAAATTGGTGCTTGGCGTGAAGACTCGTGGGCATTAATGTCAGCAGGTGGTGTGGTCGGTCTGATCACACAACAGTCTTAACTTGCTCATCACCTGGCGAGAGAAGTGGAGACGTGTGGCACGCAGTGAGGGAAGAAAGTATCGATTGAAAGGAATAAGACGAAGAAGTAACACTCTTAGTAACAGTATATCGATTAAAATAAGGTAAAACCAAAACTTGTTTTTAAGTAGTCACAACAACTCTCCCTACCGGCGCAATTTTCTCCTCCGTTATTACAGAGGACATGGGAACTTTCGACGTCTCTCTGTCACAGAAAACGGGCCAATAGCATTCCAAACATTCCAATCGCACCAGCCACAGTTGTGGCCTCTCTCAACGAGCCTCCAGGACAGATCCTACTACCAGTCACAGAGTGTCCGCAGAGGCAGATTGAGTGGCCAAGGTGGTCGCTTCTCTCAGTCTTGCTCCGTCTTTGATATTCGTGAAAACTAAAGTGGTCGCTTCTCTCAGTCTTCATTCCTCTTTTATATTCGTGAAAACTAAAGTGGTCGCTTCTCACAGTCTTCATCCGTCTTTGATATTCGTGAAAAATTAAAGTCCTTGCTTCATTCATATGAATGCTTCCACTCATTGAGAACGTCGATACGGTAATGGCGTTCCCCCTTTGCCTTCTTACTTAGGAACGACATTCCCAGATCTTTGCTCTCATTGAGTGACATCATACATCATCATATCCTTGGCACTCTTCATTCATTCATTCTTTACTCGCAAAAAATCTGCGTTGTATTTTTTTTCCATAGGACTACATGCTGCCTCCCATTCAACTACTTAAATAACCCCATTTAAAAACTTGCAGACCCGGGGAGCAAGAAAACCGTATCACAACGGCCAAAAACTAACACTATCGGAGAGAACTATGTGGACGCAAAGTTTTATCATGGCAACAAAATTATATTAGTTGCTGCTTTGACCGTGTTCACTTTCATTCTGGATAATAGCATCTGCAAGGCAGCAGAAATAGACTGCATATCAACATTATCATTATCCAACGATGTTGATCATCGAGGAGATCAGCTTGAGCATCAAGCACGACAAGCATCTATAACTTCTTAACATTTTTTCAATTTCTTACCATTAGAGGTACCGGCAACCCATCTTTTAGAACATCTTTTAGCCTATTCCAAGAAGGAATTGGCTGAAAGATGGTGTAAAAGATGGGTTGACGGTACCCATAATACCACCAACTACCAACATTGCTTCGAACCCATTCTAGATGGAAAAACTATTTACCAACAAATATAGCCATATATCTTCTGTATTATATGTTCTTACGTCATGATGGAAAGGAGCCTCCTCCGCAGTCGTGGTCTAACTATCCAATGATGTCTCTATGCATGTATTGACAATAAACCGGTGCTTACGATCATATTTTTCTTAGACTTTCCATAAATAGTAGTAATGCTTTCTTTTATCAATCTGTTTCGGTATCAGTTTCTTTTCAAATGATGATCATTAGCCTCTAGTGCTTCCAAGTTCTTCAATAGTTTTCTCTTATCGCAAACGAGCAGTGAAATGACAGTTCTTGTAGTACTCCTGATAATCTTCAATACGGTACAACATACGTAATTACTCCTGAGTCTTGTAGTCATTTTGCGCCATCAATGATCGCTCTTATTGGATGCTCGTACAACACCAGATGTATCTTGCTGATCATATTAGCCAAGAGTGGTTCATAATAACATAGACAATTTTAAATAGCAATCATACGAAGTATGACCAATATTAAGTATGAAGGATCCGTAGCCTAACCTAACCTAACCATGACCAATATTAGTGATGCTTACGCCTTCCTAGACAATCTTTTTCTGATCCAACAATCTTCACAAAAAAAACATCATAAGTAATCCGAGAAAACTCCTCCCCGTGTTGAAAGTACAAGGGCCTTCGCCACCCCCTCTTCATTCCCCCCGGGGCTTTGTCACTATTAACAGCACCCTGACGAAGGGGCCTGAGAGGTAGTGGCGCCAGTCACGGCTGCAGGGGGTGCGTTCTGAGGCTGAGAGGTAGTGGCGACAGTCACGGCCTGCGCCGGCACATTTCCGCGAGCCGCTTGCTGAGGCTGAGAGGTAGTGGCGCCAGTCACGGCCTGCGCCGGCACATTTCCGCGAGCGTCCTGTTGAGCCTGAGAACGGTTGGCACCGATCAAGGTCTCCCTTGGGCAGCAGTTCTTTCGCAAAGTCTTGACCGCTTTTTTTTCGGTCACCTCCTGAACAATGGCCATAGCGTCAAAGCGTCCGCTGCCGTCGTTAGCCATGTTTTGCCCTTGCCTCATGATTTCAGCAAAGACTGCCTCGGGCACCTGATTTACGAACGCTTCAACTTGGTCCGGGGTGATTACACGAGTCAACGTGCGCGGATCGACACCACGTCCACAAGCCTCTTGGAGATACACCAACTTATCGCCGTCTCCGAAGTCGGAGCATTTTGCACCGGCGGCCGGAATAAACTGTGCCAGCCCCTCCCGTATGGTTAGAAGCGGTATGGTGTATACGCGCTCTGGAAGAGCAAAAGTGCTTGCTTATACTACGGCTTACTAAATAAAGCGAATAGCCCAAGATATAGCACCAAACATGTTTGCTCTTCCACAAGAAGATACTCGGAAATTATTGAAAAGCCATAGAAGCAGAGGCACAAAGGCGTCATCAAAGTCTTGGCGCATTCTCGTTCTCTGCCCCCCGGAAGGCGGACCCAGTGAGAGCTTTACACCTTGCACAGCAAGAACCGCCACTGCGCACGTCTTCAAAGAACGCGACATCTTTGTTGTCTGTTTGCTGTTCGTTTAACTCAATAGAAAACGAATTATTGAAAATCAATGTGGAGAAGCTAAAACCGCAACCACGAAGCCTTTCTATCTGCTTTTCACCTTCCTTATGTCTTTGGAAAACTAGAGACAAGTCTCTAGCCAACCTATTTTTTTTGCTGGAGCAAGTACCTATCTGTGAATCTCCACGCTACGACACCCTAGAAGTTGTGAATGGTATAAGTATATGAAGACTGAGTTTGAATACAAAGACTGAGTGTGAATCTCGTGGGTCACAATAAAATTGTGGTCGCTTTTTGAATCTCTTTTCCTGAAGATCGCCTGGGAGATTATCATGTGGTGAGGGAATAGCAAAGATCCATCTACTGAAGAAAGGACCGACAGGGTATCACTCTCAAAGAAGAGCAAGGAGCCTCCAGATCGGTGACAGTGTGAGAACGTTCATCCACTAGGTCGCAACGCAAACAGAAGATTATCAACTCTCTCAAACATTTGATCTTTGAATAAGAGTCACCACAACGCCTAATCTTTCACTTCGCGCAGAATCGCTCCCTCAATCATATACAGATGAAAGGTAACAAGTAGTTTCGTCTCTTGACAGACAAATGGAAAATGCACTCTATGCAACCCCTAAATTCTCAATATCGAAGTCTGTTCACTCAGCGGTCACTGCAGTCTCAACAGTGGCGTCTCTCATAGACGATCCTGTAGTGTCTATGTAAGACACACAGACTAGGGCAGGTCTCTAACTCTATGTCTCACTCAGTCTCAATCGCAAAAACTGCCAGATTTCGGCTGGTTAGGTTAGGTTAGAGATCCTTCACTTCGGGTTTATGCTCCTACCCGTAAAAATACAGAGCGTCACTGGAGCTGTTGACAGAGTGGCAGAGGTGCTTGTAGTTTCGCAGACCCTTTACCTACTTATATTTGCACTGCCTGCCAGTAAGGCCACGTAACACGAGCGCTTGCAAGTAAGACCCCGGAGGCAACGCCAGCAAAATCTGGCTCAAAAGGATAGCTTGCGCGACGCTTACGAGCGAGCCCATTTTATCGGTATGCTTGCACGCATGAGCGGAATCGCCTGATGATGAATCATCCCTCTGTAGAAGAGATTACTTCTGTCAGTCTCTGAAACGATTACGTCTTTCGTCTGCCTGTGGAAGAAAGTACTTTCATCTCTGAAGAGATTCTCTCTGAAGAATTTCTTAGCCGTGAGCGTCAGCCTTATCGCGGTCGAAGAACCCAAAGTCGACATCTTCCCCGTCAAGTATCCCTGTGCGGCATGGCCATTGCGCATCTGATATCTTGTAATTATCGTCCTTAACAAGCAAATTCTCGTTCTCCAGTGCTATGGGCTCCTCCTGTCGAGACATGCGGTTTGATCTCCGATTCTATCTTTGTTAAAGGTGGTAATTGTAGATAGATCATTATATCGCTCTAATATCCGTGGTTGAGTGCATTTTTCGTCTTTTGCTCCTAGTTCAAACGCATTCACCTTTAGATTACATAAAATATCTCCAAGTTTCCGGCACATGTAGATGGGGTCCTTCAAAGTAGGACGAGAACGATCCACTGTTGAACATACGAGAATACCAAATGGCAAATCCAGTTAGTCTTAAATTTGGCGGTAAGGTCGTGACAGAGGCACGCTCATGACCACATGCCGTCTCCACAGACTGCTCGCTTCTAGGAGAACAGGCTTCGCCGTCGCCCTGTACGCCGGGTGGAGGGGAGTCTGATTCTTAGAAGAGAGTGGAAAAAGAGATGATCTCATAGTTATAGAAATAGAGCTAGAGGGTGGAAGTCTCATAGTTATAGAAACAATGGGAAGTCTCATACTCTGAAAAAGGGAACAAGTCTGCATTTGGATCTACGCTATCTAGTTGTTTCAACATCCCGCTTTTTGAACTGTTCTAGATCTAACATCCTGACGCTTTCAATTCCTTACCACTTGATTATGGTGTGCTCACTTCACTGCAGTGATCATCTCCTTCAACATGATCTGTCAAATGTCTGTTGCATCATAACTCACACTCGACGATGGCATGCTCTCGTCGTTCCCCCCAACCTTCCTTAGAGATGTAGATCGTATCTGTTCTCACCATGTCAGACACGACTAGTACTTAAGTACCCAAAATCTAATACAAGCTTCCCACTTGACGGAGCGAACTTCAGCCAGAGACTGCACATACCTCTGTAAGAGAACGTGGCTCTAGTGATACAACTATAGCCTTAACAGCGCATCTCCTACTGCATCCGTCTCTGACGATCTCTTCTGTGACATCTTTTTCTCTGCTTCTTCCGCTTCGTTATTTATCATCTTCTCCTCTTGTTCTGGAGGTACAATTTTCATGTGCTTATTCATCTTGTCTCCTATGCTATTGCTGCAAGTAGATGTCGCGTTAATATTTCTTAGAGGTACCGGCAACCCATCTTTGCGAACATCTTTTAGCCTATTCCAAGCAGAAATTGACTAAAAGATGGTGGAAAAGATGGGCTGATGGTACCCATAAATTTCGTACACTAGTACTGGAGGATATCGTATTCAGTGATATCTTCGTTGTACTTTTGCTGTTGTTGCCAAGATGGATGCTGAGTCTTGGACTGCGCAGAGTAGATGCTACTAAGGGATTTCGCACCAGCATGCGCGTACTATCACTCTCAGGCTGTGGATACGTTGGCGTCGCTGTTACCTGCACTGGGGCCACTGAAATTTTCTGCGCTGATTAGAGCATTACCCTTATTTTGGTTGGCTATTTTTCTAATGATCACATGAATCTCGTGCGACTTCTCGGGTGAATGGTGCCTAGTAGGTTTTACGACCTCAGTCAAGGCCATGTTCTAGTTTCTCATCATTACCAAGCAACTTCTTATGAATGGCAGTGAATAATAATCCACTTTTTACTACTCACCACTGTCTCAAGCACCTCCTGAAAACCACATCGAGTCTGATTTAGTCTTAAGCACCTCCATCAAAACCTAAGCTGATAGACCCTGAGACGAGTCGGCGCCTACGCCTTTCGGAGACAGCTTTTCGAGACTTAGGCTACCCAAACGTCCCGCAGCCCTCGTCATTACCGGTGTGCGGACGCCGGTTAATGGCGAGCGCCGCTGTAGCATTGCCGGTGTAGATGCAGGAAATAGCACCCCGGGAGGCAGGTAGATGGAACATTAGATGAGGTAGAAAGCTATTTTGAAGCACTCCAGATGAATCTGGAACGGCTTTCGGAGTAATCTACCGTAGATACTAGAATACTCTCTTTCTAAAATCCCCATCAGTTGTTCAGCAAGTCAATTCCCCCATCGACAAGATGTTGTTGAGTTGTGATTTTGGTCTACTTCTCTTTCATCATTACTTTTCTTCGTCATCGTCTATCACGGGCTTATATGGCATAACTGCCAAGAGGAGAAGAGGTCGCTGTTTGCGAAGTCGTAGGTCGGAATTTTTTTTTAGAAGAGGACAACTAGAGTCAGGAGTTGCTTGCTTACGCCTAACAAAGACTCAACATCGGCGGATAGAAAAAGATGCATCAGTGCTGCACTGTGTTGAAATACAAGTGTGTGAGAGCTGCAAGATACAACTTTCACTTGTGTTGTATAGGGATCTCTCCTGCATTGTGTTGAAATACAACTGGAGAGACAAGAACTCGATCGGTGGAGATAATAGAACAATGAATGGGACTAGAAGAATGCATACTCGCTATCACAACTACACCTAAGGACCTTAGGTCAAGGTTTTTGTATGTGCAAAAAAAAATACGAGTTGTACATGTACGGTACAGAGATCTATAGCATAACGACATTGGAGACGCTTGCTGTTGCGACGCTTGCAGATCTCTTCCCGACTACGGTAGTCCATGACACTAGGGAGGAAAGACCACGCGGCGCGGCTGGCAGTGGCGGACTTCGGATCCCGTGACGCAGTCCAGGTGTAAAAAGACCCGAAGAGGATTAGAGCTCAAAACAAGTCATTTCTTTGGAGATTTCATTTCTTGGAGATTGCATTTCCTCTGAAACTGAGGACATTGATCGTCAAGTTACTCCTACTGAGAGATTTCCGCTGTCTAGGGCTCGGCTAGATTGTGAATCCTGCACATCGAGCCTCATGTCTAAGATGAAGTAGCTACTTACACAAGTGAGCCTTAAGATGATGTCGCAGAGGGCAAGCCTGCACTACGGCGACTTACTACTTTAGGGCTATCCTTAGCCCATGACCCCGTAACGACATCCCGTTGAAATACTCGACCCAATACTTGCCTCAGTACAGCCCGCGGCTCTTCCAGTCAGTACTTTAACTGGCGAAGTCCTACTTCAATGGGACGATTCACGCGGAGATGGGTTCTTTTGAGCCATAACTACTGTACTCCCTGTCTTGATAGCAACAAGATGACTCTGATTTTCGGTAATGGAACCAGGCTTGGCTTGGGTTGCATATTAAAGCGTGAACCTCGTTGAAAAACAATGTTCTCGTAAAAATAATCTTGGTTTAGGTGTTGATGTTTGTCACTGAAGGCTGCAGACAATATCGACGGCTCCTTTTATCTTACAGTGATTGCTGTAATGCTACTTACCCTTTTTTCTAATATTCGACTTGAACTTTCCTCAGAACAGATCAGTTGCAGAATTATAGACTTCTTTCTTAGTAAGTCGCACTCGCAGTTCAAAAAAAGCATCTAATAATTTACCGACCTCTTCATAACCTTCACCGCCTCCACAAGGACCTTTCTGCTTTTTATCTTGCAGGGACGTGCGCTGAAACACAGGAGGGGGCGATCTCCAACCGCAACTACTTGCCGTAGACTCTGGCCCCCATCTTGGCGGTATCACTCGAAAGTTTCCTCCCAATGTGGAAGACGGAGTGGCCGCTGTAGACGAAAACTTGCTCTCCACCAAACGAAGCAGTTCTTCCCGAAGACTCGTGCCTGAAAAAAGCAGGCACACGACAATGCATACGAGAGCCACATCAACTTTTCATTTCATCAAGGAAAAGATCTTCTGCAGCGGCCTATCATATTTATTATATCATTTATTAGGAGGTAAATACAAAATAATCAGCGATGAAACCTGAAAAACTACAATCAAAAAGTTCATCCGATACGTTCATCCATCAGCTGCTTCCGTAAAGAATCTACTTCAGATCGAAGGGTGGCGACCTCCGTTTCGAGGTCCTTTTTCTGCTCGTTCTCGCTCCCACCAGTCGCGCCTTCGACGGGCGAGAGAGCGGCGAAACGAGACTTCGGGATCTCAGGCATTTTCGATTGTAGTCGTGATAGGAGGATCCAGTAGGAATCTTCAGTAATCGTGGTCTCTGCAGGGTTTCTTAAATCGAAATTACTGGAGGGCAACCTAATAGACTAGAACATTGAAGTCTGAATGTCCACGGAAGAGGAATCACTGTGCCACTTCTAGCATTAGAAGTTCAAATCTCCACTCGTCGTAGTTTTTTCTCTCTTGAAGCGCATCTATGCCCGCCTCTACATCTTCGGTCTCTTTCCGACTCTGTTTCCATGAGAGCAGGTGACGGCGTGCTGGGCACTTTGTATATGCACGATAGCGAGTGTTGTTTTTTCCTGTGATATCATAGGGACGCATTGGTCCCCTGTGGCAGTACGAGAACCGTTAGCACTGGTTTTGTCCAAACTGTTTGAGGCATGGAAATCCTTTTCTAGTACCTAAAACTATGGAGTACCATGTACAGTCGGAAAAGGTCGGTAAACCTCGTCGTTACAGAAAGATCTAGGAATCAATCTGACAATTTTAGCAATTTCTTTAGCAGAAAACAATAAACTATGTGCACCTGATGTTAGTACAATAGTGAAAAAGTTTTATGTTGAAGTGACGTCTGTGGAGGTGATTCTTGGGATTACAACATGTCGAAGAATTTATTTGATGTCTTTTCATACTCCTTTTTAGTACAACCACGAAATAATTGACCACTCGTTCTTACTAGGGTGTCGTTCTTGCTCTTGTATAATATGAAGAATGTCGTGTTGGTCAAAACAATACTTCGTAGTAACAGGTAGCAAATTTTTGACAAACATGAGTAAATAAGAGATAGGCAACATCATCCATATTTTGGACAGATGCAGGTGCCAGACTCTATAATGGTTCTTTTAACTAGCATGACATACGTAAATGATTTTGAATCCTAGACCACACAGACGACAGATATGCTTGCAACTTCTCAACGCTTACTAGATATGTATCGTCAGTCACACTCACAACTTTATATCTTCTCGATCACCTATGATGAAAACTGCATCAGAAAGCACTGAAGATGATCTTTACGATCATTACGATTAGACTTCTAAGTAGTTGTGAACTATACTAGTCGTGAATTAGAAAGGAGTTTCCTCATCTTCGAAGAGATCGAATTAGAGGGACTTCCGTTCTTCGGAGTGGTCGAATTAGAGGCTCTTCTGTTCGCGCTCGATGAAAGCCTTGGAGGGCTTAGTCTTCCACTTTCGCTGACCGCGACCGAAGTTGGACACTGCGCCCAAGGCAATGATTGTCATCATGCCGATTCCGAGCAGTGCTTGGTAGTCGAGCTTCTTGGTGCTGTCGTGCTTCTTTGTGCTGTCGAGCTTCTTGCCGGTTTTTAGAGCTAGTTTTTGCTGGTATAAGACTTTCATCTATAATGCTTCTTCCTGTCGCTATTTTATTGGCAAGGAACAATACCTTGTCGCCAAACTGTTGATCTCATCAGCACACCATCAAAATCCATGCTTCACCAACATGATCATGAAAATCCATGCTTCTACCTTAGTTCCTTACACAAGCCGAAACAAATCTCACTACGAAACCCTGAAAATCCGGAGCCTTAACTTTCTCTTCTTTCCGCCGCCCATGGCGTTCAGCAATTGCGATGCCATCTGTGCTTCGGGACTGTCATCCGCACTCGCCCTCATAGCTTCTGCGAGTTTCTCGAAGCCTTTCGCCCTGCGAATCTTGCCAGCTGCAGAAAGCATTAGAGCTCACTCAAATCCATCTTTAGACTCATCTTGGAGCTGTTTTCCTCTTGCGGGACAGCTCTTCCCAGAAGATGTACTAGCTGCAGATGGACAATTAGGGTCGTACGCCTTAAAAGGATGTGGAAGTTGGCCAAGTCGTCCTCCGTTTCCACGTACTCCTCCGCAGTTTCCTCTACACTCTCCAGAGCTCCTTCTCTCGATGTAGACGTTTCGTTTGCTCCTGCCGTCTCTTGTGGGGTTGTCTCGGACATATTTTTAGATCTGATTTGATTTGAAGTACAGCGGTTGAAATGCTTTGATTTGAAGTACAGCGGTTGATTGATTGATTGATTGATTGATTGATTGATGTGCCTGGCAGGAGGTCTGGTTAATTGTGCCTGGTCAGTGTTTTTTATTTCTTCTCCCCTATTTTTCCTTCTTTGCACTTTTGGAAATGATTTGCTTTGAAGTTGCTGTGCTTGGACAAGATGAGCTTTCCTTTTAAGTACTACTTGTCAGTGATCTTCTAGAGGTCATCTCCATCCAAGCGTCGGTGGTTAGGTTAGGTTAGGTTGTGGATCCTGCACAACGAGCCCCACCGGCACCTGCTCGTGCTCGTCGATACCTTATAATAAATAGTGACAGAAAAAAAAAACGGGACTGAATGAATTGCCTAGTTTCTGAACACGCTATGGATGCCTACTAATCATAACAGAATCTTCATCGTTATCCCCATCCCCGATAGTGAGACCTTCGGAAACACGGCGCGCGCGTCGTACGTCAGCATCGAGTTCGTAGGGAGTGCCAGAGAAAGCAAACAGCTTCGGATACGATTCCACCAAGGTCTGTGCAACATGATGACCATCAAATGACCATACATCGGCTACTGTTGCGTTGGCGGTACCTGAGCGTGAAGGGTGGCGAAATTCGGGACTCGGAATTTCAAGTAAGTAAATTCTCAAGAATAATTTGGAAGACTGTACTAGAGACACAATGCTTTGTTAAACAAGTCAGAAAACCTTACAAATTCCAAATTGCAAGACATCGCAAGCGGAGTGAAATTCCTATGTATTGTCCACATAATATCGAAGTTTTTTCATTTTGCATAAAAAGACTCAGGAGTTGTACCGTTCATCTCCTCCTCACTGGTCGCCACTTCTGGCTGTACTGGTGCCTCACGGAGTAAAAGAAGGGTCTTCGGCAGTTTCTTACGCAGTGCCCGCGTCCCCTTTTCCATGTTGTGAGAAAGGAATTCTAAATTCCCTAGTCTAAACGGCCTCATGCGTGGCAAACGGCGTCCTTCGGTATCTGCGTCTCTCATCTGGTCCAATGAGAGAAGTGAAAAGGAGTACTAGGACCACTAACAACATATTTGGAAAATCACAATATAGACAAATAAATAGTTGCATATTTATGAGGAACAGATGATCACTTGATATAGGAGTAGGCTAGTGAGAGTTCAATAAATATTTCAACTTCATCTCTGTAGATTAGTTTACTTATCCAAAATCAAAACAACTGCTCTTTTTAAAAGAATCTTATAATACTTTTCCAGATGGTCGTGCCAGAAAGGTCAGAGGGGAAAGCGTCTCGCCCACAAAAGCAACCGTCAGATTCGACATGATAGAAGATTCTTCACTCAACTCCTTGGTGTCGTCTTCCTCCTCAACAGTCGCGTTGCTGGCCTCCACAGAAGTGCTGTTGGCTTCCTCCTCCTCAACAGTGGTGCTGTTCGAAGACTTCTTCATGGCGGAAAGCTTCGAGGAAAGAGAGGTGGTCTGTAAAAATAAATTTAGGGCAGTCTTCTAGCTGCATCATGTACAACATCCCAAATTTAGTATCCTTGCATCATGTACATTATCGGATAGTCGCTGGACACGACATTTCATCCAAGCCATAACAACTTCCTCCTCGTTCGCAGCTACCGTTTCCGTTTCGACAACGGTGGCAGGAGTTTCTTCTTTGTCATCCTTCAGGGTCTCTCCCGCTTCTTTCGCCTCGTCTCCAGGAGAAGAAGAAGAAGCAGCATTCACATCTGCGCTCACCACCTGCTCAACAATGGGCGTCTCCTGTGTCGCCTCCTCTGCGCCTGCGAAAGCGAGGTAACATCCAGTAGCAAGCAGCAAAGAGAGACAACGCGGCATCTTTTATGATTGTGACAGTGTTGTTGGAGAAGAGGTTTTATCTCTTTTTAGGACTCTCTCTTGATGGACTCTCTCTTGATGATTTCTCGACACGCTCGCAAAGACTCTAGTACAACACTCTTCTTTTTTGGATTTGGAGATTTCAGAAATTGTTTCTTTTTTTTGTATCCTGGGGCTACTGAAAGAGCGGCCTCAGCTTTATCCAGTTCGCAAACCGGCGGCAGGCGGAACCTAGTGGGGCGCAGGCCACCTATAGGGGCGCAGTACGTTTCGCAATCAACAAAAAATCTACAATCGCTCGACTTCCTCCTACTTTGTTCTTGCACCTCAGTACTGGCCTTGGATAGGATAGGATAGGAGCTGGCCTTGTCATTAATATAGGCCACTCGCCTATAATCACAGAATCAACTTCTAAGTAGTCTCACCACAGTAGAGTGTTCTAGCCAGGACTGCGACAAGTACGTTTCAAAACGCTAGGTGCGCACGAACAATTCCATCTGTCACAACAACGACGCGCGCCAATATCGGTCGCGCACACAGCCAGCCACAGAGTGATCACCCCTCTGCAAAGTCAGAATGATTCAAGTCTTAAATCAAACAGACTGGCATTTTTAGGTTACCTAAGAGTGTAGAAAGGTAAGCGTGCTCCTCATGCTGCGGAAAAAATGAAGAATCAATAAAGGCTGTGACCGTGGTGACCATTCATCCACAGTGACAGTCGTGAATAATCTTGCACCATGTACAGTCTGAGAATATTGGAGAATCTGGACGAAGATATTTTTCGCAGAATTCTTTTTGCAGAATATCTTCTGCATTTACTATAAAGTTGTGTAAGTGGAGGGACGCCCAAACAGTACAGTCTAGAATAGGAGTCTTCACGAGGCTCTTCGTACAGCATTGTACTTTGCGGACCCCTAGCATTATACCCCTACGTAGAGTACTTCCCAGTGTTCTACTCTATGGACCCCTTATTCTTGCATTTGATCTGCTTGTTCGTTCCTTTTTTACCACGATTCATAGATATGTTCTAGTATGTATCTATGATGATAGCACAAAGAGCAGTTGATCACAGGGAAAAATGTTTCTTGTTCTCACGTCGTGCTCGTCAGAAATACGATCGATGAATTTCCTTTGACGACCGAGCCAAACGAGTAGAAAAAGTAGGGCAATGAATGCTTTGCCTACCTGTGATTACATACTCTACTGCTTGAAAAGATTATGATCTCAAAGCAGTGCTAACAAATGATCGGCACCATATTTTGCTGCGAATACCAATTACCTATGCGTACTAGTGATGCTTTGTTGACAAACAAAAGTTCAAGTTGTACAGTATAGCAGTAGGCTGGCTCATTTCAAATAGAATAGGACGACATCATGTTAGGTGCTGAGATTATCACGCACTTCTCGTTTGACCGGTTGTGGATACTCTGCAAAACAATACTAGAAACCACCGAAAGGAGTAAAAGTGACAGACAAATGATAACGAAAAACTTCCACGGGTATTAGAAGTTACTGTAAAATAATTGTTTCACATTTCCTTCGATTCAAGGCTGACCTCGGAGCCACAAATTCGGGTTTAAAGCGCCCATAAAAGCATCAAGAATATGCGGCATCGAAGAAGACACCTTGGCGCATCTTCATTTTCTGCCTGCTCGTGTTCCTGGTCCAAATAACCACTCGAGGCTGTGCCAACAGTCGGCAGTAAAGCTGTTCGGGACAGTTCTGGACCAAGAGCAAAGTAGTAGCTCAGCCGCAATTTAGGTGTGTGATCTGAAAAATCTTCACTCGTTGTTAATGTGGTTCTTGGAACAACGAAGAGGTCATGAAGACGGAAGATCAGCATGGTGGAGGTTCTTGTCCGATAAGAAAAACAAGAACTGTACGTTAACAACGAGTGACTTCAGATCACGAGCTCGTACCGGTAATGGGTCGGAACACCTTCCGCGACGCTGAGCTTCGTCAAATGGATCTTCTGGACGTCTCGTAGGGGTTAATATGCAGTTCTTGTCATCTTCATGGCCTCTTCTTTTTGCTCTTCCTGCACAGTGGATGACGACCCTCCTGACGAAAACTCTCGGACCTGCCTGGCCACTAGAGGTTGCTTCGCATCTTTCGAGAACCTAGGCTATGGCTATGCGCTTGTGTCCGAGTCCACCTTTATCTGGTTGGTTCACCTTGACGCCTGGAGGCAAATTGACCTTTACACCTCTGGTCCGAACAGAAGTCTTTTCGAACAGAAGTATTTTCGAACAGAAGTATTTCCGAACAGAAGTATTTTCGAACAGAAGTATTTACGAGAAGTCTTTTCGAACAGAAGTCTTGCGATGACAAACATTTCACAGATTTCAGTGATGCAGCCGTAGACGTCGTGGATGGGACAAAAGCCAGAAAATATCCACTACACCGATGTCTTAAATCGAATTATAACTGCTGGATAAAATACAGAGGCCTGCGGGGAGATCAGCGATACAACAACAGAGCTGTATAAAAAGTGAACGAGTCATCTCGGGGCCAACATTTCTGATCGTTGCTTAGGACCTCCGCGTATCTGTTCTTCTACCACGCGGTACAAAATTTAAGAAGGACTCTCGCGCAGGGTAGGTTGTCCCTGAATTCCTGCTTTCTCGTAAGCAGTAATCTCCTTCCGATCACAAGACATAGAGCGAGTCTGTGCGACGCCATCTTCACCATATATTTGGTCGACATAATATACTCGGCGTCAAAATCTGATATGCTGACCTATGTGCTTGGACATCGAGCCTGCAACCATGATTAGTCTAAGCGTCGCATCTCCCGACACAGGGTCTCTTCGTCTTGCAGAAGTACGTGTAAGTAACAACCCCATGACCGGCAGGCTCAGACACGACAAAGGCGATACTTTTAGAAAAGCAAGGCTGTAATGATGATACGAAAGATGTAGATGAGACACAACTCAACTTCTGTACGTGACACGACGAGCAGGAGCGCTCTAATATCTCATTGCGAGACTTCTAGGGATGGCATGCGCTGGGGATGAGGTGTGATACGTATGAGTCTTATTACGTGGTGGGGAAATAAAAAACAGCTCTGCTCGATTGATAAATTTCACACAGTAAACGCAAGTAGCTGACTCATTTGATGCTAAATTGAAACTTCAGATTAAAAATTTCATTGGATCTGCTTTGATGTGGATTACGTAGGAAGCATTGGGTCTGCAAAACCAACGCGAGTTGCCAAGATAGCAAACTCAACGCAGCTGCAATTGTGACTAATGATGTAACCCGTTCGTATTCTCGCATGGAGTAAAGACAAAGAGATCATCCATAATTTAATGTAAAACTACTCCTTTATACGTCCACCCACGCACTAGTCATCGTGTGATGAAATGATAAACAACGCTGCAGCTGCTCCCCCTCTAGTTATTCTTGATTGTGTCACGTTTTCAAATTTCAGTTCTTTCGCCTTATCACATTGTCGTCCACTACCATTCGAACTGTCGACACCAATATTTTTGTGTATCGTCGTCACCTCAATATAACTACCCGTACCTCCTCCAGCTTCTTCAGATAATTTTTGGCTTTCAAACTTCATTTAAAAACCGCCGCTAATGTAGTCCTACCTCCTTTCTACTCGCATGGATAGAAAAATGTCCATAACATGCCAACTACCAGTAGTGATAAATATAATGTGTGTGCCATGTGGTCGTGTCCTTTCAACGGCTACGACACTCCCAAATGGTATTCTGAACATAACTTTAACGTCTATTTTCTTCCTAGTAAGTACAAGAAACTATAATTCGATGACACAAGCTAAGATCCAAAGTAAGTAATGTAAATAAACCCCTCAATTGGTACCTTTTGAATAATAAGTGTTGATTTGCTCAATTTTTTTCAATTTGAATAAGCAATTTTACGCCTCCAAGAAAAAACGCGCAGTTTTACATTTCTTGGTGTTGAAAAGAACGGTATTGATGACATACGGAGGAGAGAAGGTTTTGCATCTACTACATATAACATCTCTATCCAGTGCACAACCCTCTCCCGCTATCACTGCCTTCTTCTTATCAGGGCCAAGTGGTGAGCCTAAATGCTCTGTACTTAAAGATGGAAAAACTTCTCACTCATATATCATAATGTTCATGTTGTTTGATGCTCCACCAATGTGTGTGGCAATCCATGTCTCGTCCAGGCAATCACATACTGGCCGCGGCCATGAGATTGCAAAATCATAATATACTGTTGTATGCACAAAATTTATTAATATACATGTAGTGCTAAAAACTCGAACCGATACTGTTTCATCTCCAATACATGATGGACAACATGCAGATGCATTTTCGTCCAGTCGTTCATCTAGCATTCTCTATTGTACCATACTATCGCCCCCTAAACATAAGTTAGGCAGAAACAGAGTGGCGGAGCTTATGCTCTAAGCTTTTGTAGGCGAAGTATATTCCCACCCACAACAGAGCAATACCCATAGTGCACGTCGCTGGAAAAGCGCACGGCGTTGGTGCGATGAGGCACAGAACAGCTACCTTCAGGGTTCAGGTGGTTTAGGGGACTTACATGGGAATGAAAGCACAAAATCGATCATCATGTTGACATCAATGCATTTTAACAACAACAACAATTTTGCTGGCAATCCAAAACAAAAATTCGTAATTCATACCCCGCAGCTCTCCATCTTCTGCTTCAGCTTTCCTTCGCTAATCGCTCGCAGTGCGCCCTGCGTCTTGGCGTTCTGACAATACACTGCTTGAAAGTAGTCTCGTGTGCGCACCCATGCGATAGCCAGCTCCATTAAGATCAACCCAAAGCACGTAACCATCAACGAGTATCCGAGAAAAGCTGTTGTAGTGTTGTCTAAAATAAGATCAAGACTCAGATGCTGGGGTGATTTAGTATTGAGCAAAGTACGTCGTCATCGTCGTCATCATGTCCCATTAAGTACGTCAGAAGATTCCTATTTTTCAACATCGAAAAAGAAACATACAGTACCTCCGTTTTCTCCCATCCCCGGCACTTGATTCAAGATTATCAGTGTCCACAAGCATGTGCAGAATACGATCTTATCGCATTGCGCATCAACAAAGCCACCCCATCGCGCGTCGTCCTCCGCTGCACGTCCATCTTCCCTCTGAACCTTCGCTACAACGCCATCGACGTGATCCAAAAAATCGTGGTACATCACCAAAAAAGCAGCTGTGTAAGGATAAGATCCACACTTCAGTAAGAAGCAGATGACCAACGTCAGCATGGTGCGTGCGTAGGTCACGGCATTTGCGCTAAAGACGGTAACCCCTGCAACCTCTCTTGGCATAGCACGGCAAAGAGGAGAACAGATGTATTGGATCCATAGGTAATACACATCGGCCGTTAGAAGAAGACCAAGATGAGTCAATGAGGGACAGGAATTGCTGCTGGATCAGGGATCGTAGTTCTGGTAGACATGATAAGCAAGTCCTCATAGGCCGCCATTCATTCCCTCATTTACCTAGCATGAGGTGTAAGTTCAGGACTTGATTCGGATGCATAGAAAAGCAAGAAACGAATCAAAAACATCATTACCCAAGGCTACGCTTCATTTTGACTCTTTTAGTTTTTTTCTAAATGACTGAGTAAGTGTTCTTTTTGCTTTTTTCTGTGTCTTCATCTGCGAGATTGAGAACTCGAAAGAGTAGATGACTTCCTCTTTTTTCTTGGTTAGCTTATAAAAATGCATTTACCAGTCTACCATGTTTTTCATAAATGCAGGTACACCAAGAAGTACATCAACGAGTCTACTGCTCTTGTTACTGTTAAATCGCTGGTACTTCGCTGCCCACGTACTAGATTCGTTGCAGACGCATCGCAGGATGCGTGCTGCTTCATGCGAGTCTGAGTATTGTCACCGCTTGATGTACTAGTAATTGTTGTGCTGCCAACCACCTGGCTTCCACCTTGTGACGACCCATTCAGCATCGTAGCCTCTTTGTTTTGTTCTTCCTCCTTTTTGCAAGATTTTTCACATCGAGACCGCATTTTACTATCTGGCGACGATCCCAGTAAGAGCATCTGCGACGCTCCTGTGGGGAGCGACGCGATTGTAGTTGCAGTAGACGGTGAACGCTTCAGATCACTCGCTGTTTCGTTCACTTGTGGCTGTATTTTCATATCGCCATTGAAAGAGCCCGAGCTTGTTTCCTGAGTCGTAGAAGATGTTGAGCCTATGGTGTTTTGCACACCAGGAGTGCCTGCGGATGCTCTATCGATGTCCGCGTTTGTATTGGCGTCAACGGAAAATATTAGAAGTACGATTGTGTGGTTTGCATGCTTGATTAGAATCTATTATATGATTGATCACATAGCTTGTTCTCTGCTACGAACGAACAACAATAGAAGTCGAGAGAATCATATCACTTCTGAAAGTTCTCTCTTGCCTTAAAAACAAATCCCCTCCAAGATTCGGTCGCACGCCACTTTTGTTTCCCGTCGTCCACGATTTCAGGTTCTCTTCCGTCAAACGAGAACTTTTCTGGGGATTAGAGAGCAAAACCGTAACTGCAAAAAAACGCCGATACTACTACTTCTAGGTTTTTCAGTACCCCCTGGCGCTGTCGCTTGTTGTAGTAAACTTCACTCTTCTTGGTGATGTACAAGGAGGTACCACTCCAGCTGCAACAACTAGCCAAGGTCAATAGCTCTACCAGGAAAAAAGCTCTATGCGTCTTCTAGTGTTAAATGTTTTTTATGAAACGAAAAAGTGTACTCATCCTCAAGAAAGTAGGCACTTCTTTCTAAGTAGGAAGAAGCCTCTTTTCTTGAGTCTATGAGTACGCTTTTTCGTGTCATATTTATTTTGTATCTTCTCATAATATTTTCCTCGAAAACAAGTCGTCCCGATGGCAAGTGACTATCCACGACAATCGGTGTCGGCGTTGGGACAGCGTCACTGTCAGATTCTTCGTCTGCCTTTTCTTTTTTCACTGGTGTCTCGCTTATCAAGCTGTCGTACCTATGAAATTGAAAAGGTCCACCTGGAGGTAACAAGTGCCAAAGATAAAGATCATGGAGTTTCTTGTTCAAAAAAAGTACGTCGCACAAGAAAATACCACCGGAAGAGAAGTAGAAAGCGTGATAAGAGGTGAGAAGTGGATGCTTGAGTAGCACATCTTCTACGAATGTTACTTATAGATACAACACATCATCTTGATCTATACAAGCTAGAGAAGAACACATCATAAGTACAAGCTTTTCTCCAGCATTTCCTTCGCCGCCTTGTCCAACACGCCGGTTTTTGATAGACGTTCGGACAAAATAATCTCGATATCTGTAGAACTAACTCCCTTGGTTCGCGGTAAGTAGTGGCATTCGCAAACACCTTGATTTTCATAGGATGAGAATTTTCGAATGACAAAAGGAGTGATGGGAATGAGTGGTCATTAATGATAGAGTCAAGGGAAAAATACTTTACAATGTTGAGACCATTACTTAGGATAAAATTCAATTTGAAGTAGTGAATCCCAAAAGCTTCTTGAGTCAAAAAAACACTTCTTACCTTTCAGCATAGTATCGAAGCGACCGAGGTGGTCGTCTCCCATGATAAAGATTGACGCCTCATGTTCGATGCAATATTGACGCTTCTCTTCCAAAGAATGCTCGATAAAAACCTGAGGAGGGAAAACGAGGACTGTTGAGTGGATTCCTATTGGCCTTTTCGCTGTCAAACCTCCAACCGTGGCAAATTTACGTAACGTGTATCAAAGTACTCGAACAACTGACATAACTGTTACTCGCTTATTTCACAGTTTTTCGAGTACTTTGATACACGTTAAGTAAATTTGCCACGGTTGGAGGTTTGACTTAGAAAATACTTTGTTCTGACCAGCATACGAAAAGCAAGCAACTGTTCCTATAATACAGCTTCTAGTACCACTAGTAGCCACAACACAGTCAGTACTGTACTACTAGTCCACTACCTCATCCACGCATTTCAAACTCTTGACCAGTTGAACGCGTGCTGCTTCGTCAAAGATAGGCTTTTTCCCTTTTTTGCGGAGCGTTAAAGCGTCGCTGGAGACTCCTACGACTAAGCGATTCCCAAAAGCCGCTGCGCGGTCTAATATCAGCAGGTGACCCAAATGGAATAAGTCAAAAGTTCCAAAAGTAATGACCGTTTTATTTTGCTTCACGACTGCTTCTTCCTCATCATGAACATCAGTATTGACACCCTGAACTTCATTCGTGGTAGAGGTAGTAGCTTTGCCTTGCCCCTGTGCAACTCCTTGTTCTTCGTCAGTTGCACTACTTGATTTCTTCGACTTGTCGTAAGCACCTCCGCCTAGTACTATGACACGGAAAAAGCTTACTCGTCTGAGAAAACCAAGAATCTTGGCAGTGTAGTTCCACTTCTTAGTATTAAACTTCTCTGCCAAGTTCTTCAAATAGTTGTGTAAACACGATAACGATCAGAGAGCTCTTTGATCTTTATCATGTTCCCACGCTGTCGGTCGTGAGTAAGGTAGTTTCTTGTGAAGAATTCATAACCAGTTGTTCTTCGTTGTTATGCACATTCTCAGTTTCCTCATGGTCATCTTCGACTTTGGGAAATGGTTCGTCTTCAACTTTGGGGTTGCTATCCACGTCGCCACGCGTGATCTCCTTGTCTTGCTGCTCCCGCAGCTGAGGCTTCATATTCTCTTCTTCTCAGAAAGATGCAAGAAATTCCTTACTAATTGTTGACTTTGAATACTTAGAAGAGTTGGACACCAGGAGGGGAAGAAAGAACAAACTTAGTGTCAAATTAAGGGAAATGCGAAGTGTAACTGAAGTACTTGCTTTTCCTATGCGCAGAAACGTGGTTGCACTATGAAGAAACTTGTGAGACACCTAAACGAAGACGCGTCTGATAGTAATAAGAAGAGAGAAGCGTGGCAGTGGTAGATTTCGATCTGCTTCTCCGATAATAAAAATAGCTAGTTCTTTCTGCTTCTTCACAAAATGGTAAAAAGAATATCTTGATCTTTGTGTAGTTGCGCCCCAGAAGCTAAGATGATACTCAATTACAGGCGTTTCATCTGACAAAATATTAGGAACTTTGCGGTTTCCTTGACAGGACAGAACCGAATGGACAAGACGAACACAGCGCCGCAAGTGGCGACAATCATACTTCTGAGAAGCACTAGCCCGAGAGGCTAGAACAAAAGGGAATCCGTTCCCTTTGCCAGTGATAAAAAGAACAGGAATAATTAAATTAATTGAAGGTCGACATTGAATTTGCCGTTGTCGACCGTGAGGTAAAAAACTTTTCACTTGAAAAAAGACGGGCGCTACGACTTCTGGAAACATAGCACGCCAAACAAGAGAGTCTACGACGCACGAAGCGCGCCATCTGGTCCAAGCACTGGGAACAAAAAAAGGGCCGAATCAGAATTCTTCACATGCTTCTTGCTTTCCTTGTCGACGCGACTGACCTCATAAAAAGAGAAACTGTTGGACGCAAAATGTTGTACCGCAAAACGGGTTGCTCCAAAAGGGCATCTGTAAATGAAGGGCTTTTTGATATATGATAATGAGGGCGAGGCGGAAACATTGTTGGAAAAAATAATGCACAGGAGTGAAAATAGTCCAGGCCCAACTTCGCCAAAAAAAAGGGAGAGGTGGTCGGGCACAAAGACTCCGCGGCGAGTGCGCGATCTAAGGGAGGGCGCCCCGGCCTCAAACAGTGCTCCTCCCTAGCGTAAATTAGCGGGACGCGAGGCTCCAAACGCATGCGGCCGACTGCTGTCGAGGGTGGAGCGCAGGGGCCGCGTCGCCCTCTATAGCGGCCGCCGGGGACAAATGCCGTCGCTTTTCGCTCGTGAGAAGCGAAAAGCCACACGGCATGGCGAAAAGAGTGGATTCTTTGGCACTTCGTGGGAAGAACTTCAAAAAAACCCAGGACTTTTCGGCCGTTGCAGCGCTGCCGCAGCGAACCAGCGCAAAGGGAAAAAGCGCCGACTGGCTGGCAGGCTTGGAGCATCAACTCCCAAGCCGTGCCCATGGCTTCGGACTCGTGGTGCTTTGCTTCAAAGCCAGCTTCTTTCCCGGTTTTCCAAAGGTTTGGGCTGCAAACTCGACAGAAGCCGGCTTCTTTTGGGGGGAAATCGACTGGTCGCGGACCGTCTGGCAGCCTTGGAGCACCAGGCCCCAAGGCGGGCCCAGGTGTGCGGGCCCGTGCTCCTCCGCTCCGGGGCCGGTTTCTTGCCGGGTTTTCTAGGGGTTTGGGGTGCCGGCTGCTCGCCTGGAGTCGACCCTTTTTGGGGAGAAGCCCGGCGACCCAGCGGACCATCGCGGACCGGCCGGCAAGCTTGGAGCAGCAGGCCCCAGGCCGCGCCTATGCGTGCGGCCCCCAGGTCCTTTGCTTCGCCGCCGGTCTCTTTCCCGGTCTTATGTATGTTGCAGTCCAGGGGTGGAGGCCCCTCTCCGGTCTACGGAGGCGAGGGGGGGCCTCTAGGCCCGGGCCCTTTTTTCGGAGGACGGCCGGGCGGGAAGGCCTCCAAAAGCCCACCTCGGATCCTGTGCCCTAAAGGGCCCCTGGCTGTGGTTGCGTGTGCCGTACAGAACTCCCCGCGCGGCAAGCGTTCGGCCTGCATCGGTTTGCCCCGTTTCCTCCAGCAGTGCAGCCGCTCCTTTGTGGACGTTCTGGTCTGCTGCAGTGCCCCGTGGTTTCCTGCGGTGCTTCGTGGTCTCCTGCTGCGCCTCGTGATCTCCTGCTGCGCCTCGTGTTCTCCTAGTGTTCCTCGTGGTCTCCTGCTGCGCCTCGTCCTATGTATCCCGCTGGACTCCAGGCGAGGAGCTAAAGACGGCCCGACCCGCTCCGAAATATCTAACTTCGGGCACTGTCACACCCGAAGAAAATGGCCATCGCCACGCACCAACACCGGGGGGGCCGGTGTATGTGGGTCTCTCTAAATGGAATAAGGCCAGCGCCTCTCTATTCCCCCGCTACCTCACTCAGAGGCGCAGGCATGAGGCCGGGGCCCCCTTCCACTTCCAGACAGATCAGCACAGCCACGAAGACAGACCGATAGGCGCTCATCGCGGTGGCCGAAAAACCCTGCGAAAGCCCTCGGGAATTCTGGCACTTTCTCGGCCTGGTCCTTCTTGACCCCAAAGGACCGAAGCCGAACAAAACCGGCAACCGGCGCAAGGGTTCGCCGAAGTCATGGACTTATCGCGGCCCGGCCGCCAAGTTGTCGTAGGTGGAGCAGGGGGTCAGCGGGTGCGCAAACGTGGCCGCCTGCGCTCCAAGCCCTGACTTTTCACGAGTTTTGCTGGAAAGCTCGACAAGAGCCCGGCCTAGGCGGTCACCCGGCAACCGGCGCGAGAGTTCGCCGAAGTCGTCGACCTATCGCGGCCCGGCTGCCAAGTCGCTGGAGCATGGGGCCAGCGGGTGCGCAGGCGTGGCCCCCTGCTTTCAATGCCGTGACTCTTCAAGCGTTCGGCCTGAAAGCGCTTCAAGAGCCAGGGCTTTGCGGTCAACCGGCAACCGGCGCGAGGGTTCGCCGAGGTCGTCGACCTCTCGTGGCCCGGCTGACAAGTTGCTGGAGCATGGGGCCAGCGGGTGCGCAGGCGTGGCCCCTTGCTCTGCGGGCCGTGGCCCTTCGCGGGTCTTGCTTGGGAACGCTTGAAGGGCCCGGGCTTTGCGGTCAGCCGGCAACCGGCGCGAGGGTGCGCCGGGGTCATCGACTTATTGCGACCCCGCTGCCAAGTTGCGGGGGTGAGTGTTCGCCAACGCCGCCGGCGCATCGACTTGCCGCGGCCGGGCCGAAAAGCTGTCGGAGCATAGTGCCAGCGGGTGCGCGGGCATGGCCTCCCGCTATTGAGGCCGCGCCCCTCCACGGGTTCGGCTTGAAAACCCTTCAAGAGTCGGGGCTTTACGGTCCTGGCCAGCGGGGCCGCGGGAAATAGTGGGCCCCTTATTGGGTCCCTCGTCATTTTCGGGCGGCCGTGTTGGAGGCGGAAGGGCCGAGAATCCAGCGGGGGTCTGGGGGTGTGTAAAATCGCGAAGAGATTTCGCAGGAGGGGGGGGGGGCGGGGAAGGGAGCGGGGAAAGCAAGCGAGGAACGAGGACGGGCTGTCGCTAACTTATAGGGCTGCGGGGTAGGAGGGGGGGGGGGCTGGCTTGGGTTATCCCTAAGGAGTCCTAAAGGAAACCAAAGGCGGAAAGTGGTGGGCAATTTCCCCCATTAGTTTCCAATGGGCTCGCGGCTTATTTGCTTCCATTTCACGCCCTTGGAGAAAACGCCGCGCCTTTTACAGATGGCGACTGTCCGCCCGCAGTGTGGTGGGCAGCCAAAAGCGTGCAGACCTTTAGCTGTAAGAGTCTCATACTTCTACAGGAGAAAGAGAGCACATGGCCGAAAAAATAAATATCCCAAATCGTGGCACGTGCACTTCTGCCCTTTCTTCTTGTTAATAAAAACCCTCAACGTCATTTGTTCGGCCCGCTTTCCTGAACTCGCTGCTACTCCTATTCCTGGTCCGACCACTGCTGAAGCGGAACTAAGGTGGAA